AGTATAGGAAATGCTTGCCCTACTCTACTGCACTTTTTACAGATAGACTTTCACGAAGGCCATTATTAAGACATGAGGGATGAGTTTCAGATTGAAACATTTAAGATTTTTGTACAAGTTTGATTCCTTCTTCAGATTGTGGAATACTTATTCATTATGTGTACTCACGTAAAATGCATTTGCGCTCACATCAGTGGCGTCAACCAATGCCACCTGACTCCACTTTTAGCGAGAACAAGCGCGTTAGCATACCTTTCAACCCATATGGTATTCATCTTCTTTGGTTCTTTCGGTAAAGTCACGTAGAATGAGAATAAAATAATAAATTGATAAAATGAAATAACAATAATATTCTCACGACGTTTCGGCCACAATGCAAGCGGCCTTCATCAGGTGATGAAGGCCGCTTGTGTCATCAGGTGATGAAGGCCGCTTGTGTTGTGGCCGAAACGTCGTGAGAATATTATTGTGTTATTTTATTTTATCAATGTATTATTTTATTCTCATTCTACGTGACTCTACCGAAAGGACCAAAGAAGATGAATCCTTGCAGTCACGAAAGCTTTAAATCCATATGGTATTCTTGTACAAGGAAATTGAGTTTAACACGAAAAAAACGTGTGCATTTTTTTGTGTTTATACCTTGTGATGAGAATTTGTAGGTTGAAAGTTGAGATTTATCAAGGCACGGGGTGACCAATGAGGTTGTAATTTGTCTGTAATAAGCTAGGGCACTGATAAGGGGTTGACAGGGTATGGGGAAGTGGCGTCGATTTGGTGAGATCACTACCAGTTTCCGGATCAATTTAAAGCAAAAAGACAATATTTGGATCGTCTGAAATGTCGTATCTAAGCCTGATTTTTCAGATTTTTTTTTGCATCTGAAAATCACGAAGAAATCCTGCATCGGGCATCCCAGTTTCACTCAAATTTATATAACATCCACACACTCATTAGTATCGTTAGGGAGAATATAACAAAATAAACAGGAAGACAATTCATCTCGTGAATTTATCTGTCCCTCTACGTAAAAAAATCCGGGATATTTTTACTCATACTGTTTGACATGTATTTGCTGAGATCAATTAGATATATTATTACCTTAAAATGTTCTATTACAAACATAACCAATTCCTACCTATCATAATTTTTGGCGACGTCATGGCAACGTCTGAAGATAGTGCTCGCGTTTTGATGTCTACGGAAATGATTGTATAGCTTTAGTGCCGAAAAAGTCCACGTGTTATCGCGATCATCCGCGGAACAACTGGTAAAAGTTGCCCAATCAAACTAAGCGCATGTCCCGCAGTCAACTCCGAGGCAGAACTGAATTGCTTTAGTTGAACCTGCTTCAACTGGACAGCCAGTATATGTTGAGTTGCCATATCGCACACATACATTTCTATCACAGGTTTTCTTTTTTTCTGTGTGCATGTGACAATGTAAGCACTATATGTCAAAGTCTGAAGTCCCTGCTAAAGCCTCTTTAAAACAATGTCAGTGGGACCTCCTGAATTAAAACAACCAAAGTGTTGGGCTGAGGGTGTTAACCCGTGACCCTCACCTCAAATTCCACGGCAAGCCAGAAAGGTTTGTAATGCATGGGATGTCCACCTACATACACGTGGCTAATTCATGAATAAATGAACTCGGTGGGATGGGGTTGGAAATCCCATGCGCCGAGTGGAATTGTTAACCATGAACATCTTCTAAATTAATAACGTTGCTTCCCCTTGGACACTGCATCTAACTGTGCAGTTCCAATGCACAACATCTGATGTTCACAAGTTTTAAGCGGACCTTACGGGAGCAACGTAAATAATTAGCAAATGAGTTCGGCCGCACGCCACGACCGCTGCTCCCGATGGATGTTGTTAACGAGTGGAAATGAACATTCATGGATGCAGGCCTCATCAATAATGGAGCTCGTGCTCAACTTGGGTTGTGGGCGACAAACGGCTCCTTGAACGCTCGGAGAGGAGGGACACAGCGAGCGGGCGCCACAAGGGGACGTCTGGAGGCCAACGTGGAGGGGAGGGGGTGGTTATTTATTAGCTTTAAACATTCTCCCAGGGGCGTACATCTGAAATGCAATCACTTATTTTATTCCCTGACCTGGAGAGACATAGCGAGGTGAATGTGCTGTGTTTGCAGACGAGACATATTTTTTTTAGGAATCGGGCACTTTTGAGGAATTTCGACAAAGCAGTGGATCTTTATTGTTGTTGTTGTTGTTAACCAACGGAGAAGTATATTCTTCTTTGGTTCTTTCGGTAAAGTCACGTAGAATGAGAATAAAATAATAAATTGATAAAATAAAATAACACAATAATATTCTCACGACGTTTCGGCCACAACACAAGCGGCCTTCATCAGGTGAAGGGGCGAGACTGTCTGGTAGGATAGCGCTGGAGTATATTATTCAGCAATAATCTAGGATAAAGCAATAATGTCCATACGATAGGACAGGACTAGCGTGTGAACGCACGCCTGTAATCCAGCACTTTAGAGGTGCGATTGATGAGTCGAGCAGATGTTGTTTGTGGTGAGACTTACCTACAGGGCCTCAAGATAGCGTGTACTATGCAGCACAGCAAGTCGATTATTTTACTCTCTCTAGAATTTGGAGTTACTCCCTCTCGTGCATCGGTTTTCCTCTCATAATGGGACATCGTCATTCTGGAGCTCTGCCGTCACAACGCATGGTATAATCTATCACGAATATTTTGTTTGATTTGGGTGTAGCGTTTGGCAGTGGTTAGCACGCTATGAACCCAAGGGGCTAAGTTTTTTTTGGGTGGAGCCGAGGGGCAGTGGTTAGCGCGCTATGAACCCAAACGACTATCTTATATTCCCGGACATCGGTGTCAAGCATTATCTGAACCGGTCCTAGGCCCCCTCATTGCTATGCCATACTGGTCACCAGTGTGGTGAAGTATGGTAAAACAACCCCCATGACCAAAACGGTGTTGAGAGGCCTTCATACAGCAGTGGATTGGTTTAGTGTTGAAAATAATTATTCGCAATTGTAATTGTTCTTTCTTATTTCGATTATATGCATGTATGAAGGATATGTGTAATAAACATCACATTATCTTTCTCTCTCTCTCTCTCGATGCAGCCATATAGAGTTCCAGATGCGATTCGTGGAGAGCCAAAATCGTGGATAGCAAGTTCGTGAATAGCGAGGGAATACTGTATTTAGATTGTATGCATGTACAAAGGATACGTCTAATGAACGGGAGATTAATGCATAAGCCAAATTATGCAAGTGCACAGGGCCGAAATGAGGTTACGGTTGGGATTATTTTGGTTCAACGTTAACGCCGAAGGGCTGAGGAAGCAATGCTGAGGCATCTACGGAAATGCTGCGGTTCAATCAGGCTCGAAAATTCAGTTTAGAAAGAGGCATTGCCGCAGGGATACACCTTGTAGAACATGCAAACGCCTCGGTGCATAATACTGCTCAAACAAAATCTCAATTGAAACGAACATTTTTGCGAGACTACATCGGCAGTTGTGCACAAGCACACACGTAATAATGTCAATAACACTGCTCTGAAAGAGGATAAAAAAAAATAATAGGCGAAGTTGCAGGCAACTGATATGAAGAAGAAAAATAGTGCGAAATGCCGCCTATATATGGTTTTATTCTTATTGACAAAGGTGCTGGGTTTTCATACTTATTTGATGCTTTGCTTCATATACAGCAAAGCATAAGAGCCACAGCCAAAGACCACAACGTGGTGTTTCATTCACAAGGCAGCAGCTCTGATCTCACAAGGTAGCGAGATGTTAACTACCTCGCCTGGTATACAGGTCGTGGGTTTGATCCCAACAATGATGCCTGTATATTTGGAGTTGCATGTTCTCCTCGTGGCCGCATGGATTATTCTCCAGATCCTCCGGTTTTTACCTTCACATTTAGAAACACGCGTTTAGAGTATTCGACTCCTATACATTTCCACATGATAAGCCACTTCGTTGAGCTATCTTTTGTGGCCAGGTCGCTTCTAAAAAATAGCCATATAGCTCAGTGGGTCCTATCTCATAAAATAAAAACAATTGTTTACTTTTAGTTTACTATATCTCCCCCAACGTTACGTTGCTCCAGTGGCTTAACGCCAGGGAAAATTTGAAAATTCCCTACTACTCAATCACAACAATGTGGTAATTTTCACAGTGGCTGCCCATCTGAGTGGTTAGCAATACCCAATCCAGCTCTGGCTTCCAAGCTCTAGAGAGAGCAGGCTGCAGGGTGGCAACGGATGAGGATCTGAAATGCCACCACATGCTGACACGTCTCCCGTGTGCCAAGCCCAGGGAGAGCTAAGCTCCCTTTAATGTGGTGAGTCAAGCTGTGGGGAGAGCGTCTCCTCACCAAATTAACCCCTGCCTCACCTGATCTGCACTGTGGGAGGATGCAGACTAAACCACTGTGAATCACTGCCACCTTCACAAACGCCATTGTGAAACACTGCAAAACTCACAAATTCCACCGTGAACCACTGCCATCTTCACAAATGCCACTGCGAAACCACTGTCACTATCAAATGGCCATTGTGGACCACTGCTCAATTCACAAGTTCAGTGGGGGCACAGCAGAAAACCATTCGACCTCACCTGAGGCCATCGCATGGCTTTCATAAACGAGCGAATCTTTGAAGCTGCCAGTCATGATGCATACGCTGGCACAGGGGTCGGTAACCTGTGGCTCTGGAGCCACGTGCGGCTCTTTAAGGAACTGCTTCGTGACCGTTATTCATGCAGGACCACCGTTTCATATTCGCACGGTACTGCGGCTCTTGAAATGTTGAGGTTTTTTTTGGACCGAATTCGAACAAACAATGTCCCTCATTGTTATTTTTGGTTTGCCAACTCCCCCCGCGCTGGCAGTAGAACCCACCCTTCCCATGGGCAAGTCTGGCGGCACCGTGGTTTGGGGGGGGGGGAGTGGGGGAGGAGGAGGCTCGCCCCAGCATGATAACCTCTTGCCTCACCTGATCTTCTTGCTGCCACGGATCCTCTCCGACTGCACGGACATGTAGCTCGTGCTGCTCGTCCGGGAGACGCCCGACACGTCGCTCACGTCGCTGTCCGACGACTTGGTGGACACGTTGTCGGCGCTGCGCTGGTGGCGGGGTCGGTACTGGGACACACGCAGATTCCCACGGTGATTTTACGACTTGCATGCAAAACATGAATGCGTGTTGCCTTTGGCCCCAGTTTTGTCCCACGCGTGCCATCGGCGCTCGTGGTCACGAGACAAAAGATGCACTTGGAACTCTGACGTGTTTTGATCTTCTTCCGTGCAGGGGAAGGTCGACAAAATGAAACACGACAAAAAAAAGTGCTGAGCCACCCGTCCACTTGCGCCGGTGGCCAACAGTTCAAATGCATTCATCTGCTATTGTACGTGGAACCAAATAGCACCGTGGCAAGCTTGCTCGGCGACGCAGCTGGAAGACTGTAAGTTCAAATCGCAGTCTGTAGGCACGAAACAATACGTATATTCGTTGATTCAAATATGGGAATACAGTTGCAATAAATGCATCGAATAGTGCATGACAACATTCATAACGTGCCGTCTTTGCACATTAAGTGCAACAACTGACATGAATAATTACACACGCGTTATTCTCCCTTTCAGACATTGATATAAATTGTTCACAAAGGGCATTGGGAGGGCAAACAAGCTGTATTTAGGAAAGGTTTTTTCTGCCATCAACAAACTACATACGATTAATGACGTTCTCGAGAAGACAAATTAATATTGAATACCATTCCACCTCGACTCTATGTACGTATGTATGTTTAACTTCTTTCACACTGTGAATAACCAAACGTGCTAATTGCAGGTGCGGGGGAAGGACAACAAACTGAACACAAAAAGCAGTTCTAAAGAAATGAGTTTTCAATCTAGATTTAAAGTGAATATCTCCAGTGGCTTCCGAATATCAGAAGCTGGAACGTTCCAGGCGGCCGCGGAAGCACTTCCGAAAGCGCGCGATGCAGTAACCGTCTTTGTTCGAGAGACACTGCATACCACAGCATCGTGCACCGGTTGGCCCTACTCCAGGTTTGAGGGAGGAGGTCATTTTGTGGATTTGAAAATTCCCTCCTGATTGCAACGTAAGCGTATGTAGTTAAAATAATGACTCCCCAGACATGAGGCAGATGAACAGCTTACTTGTATGCGGTGAACTTTCCATTTGTCACTTTTCATCGCGTGGGTGATTACATTCCCCGCACCCGGCGTGTTCTGTGAGACGTTTCTGAAGTGCTCACCTGATTTAAGACTTATGTTGGCAAGGCTAAGACTGCATCAGTGAGAGAAAGAGGTACTTTGGCGGGTAACCAAGGCCTGCCTTGCAGATGGTTCTCAATGGATGTCTTTTGTTGCCAGATAAAAGAGGAAAAACTTATTCTCTGCTTAATTGGTGGACACTCAAATTGAATGCTAATAAATTAACTCTCTTTCCTCTCATCCCGAGTGGTGTTTGTATGTATGTATATTGAACGTCTTTCACACCCTTTACAATCCTCGTGCATATTATCCTGTGGAGGAGATGGCAGTGCCCGCACTTTACCCCACCACGACGCCACCTACCAATCGAGCCCACAACGACGGTGAACTCATTTGAAGCCCTTCTTCCAGCAGTGGCACGAACGAGCGATTAAATCGGGGCTGCACCTTTACATTTCTTCGCTACCCTTGAGACGAATTTTGGCGTTCACTCAACACGGTGAACTTAACTCCGCACCACCTTTGAGCACAATTGGTTACGTACGGTGCGAAATTATTTCAACATACATAGAATTCCCCATAACCCTTCCCATCACAATGAACCCATCAAAGGGACAATTTCTCATCAGTGTGGAGAACTACATTTGTTTACTGGTAATTCTAACCTTCTGCATCATTTTTCAACCAAACCTGGGGCCATTTCAGCGAATTCACATATTCTCCGCGCAATCTTGAACGAATCAGGCCACCTCCATTTGAGTTTCCCACTATCGATTTTTATCCCCACTCATCACAGACAAGGCTTTCTTAACTCGTGTTTTAAAGCCATTAGCGTGTCCTGCTTGATCCGATAATGCTAGCTCACTTTTAATGGCTGGAGTCGCTCTCGTGCAATAATTGGCAATCCCAATGGAAACAAACACGGAAGAATAAAAGCGTAAACAATCTAATGAACTTCTAAACACCCATGAAACATTCCACACTGCGACTGAATTCTATGCGAGTAGTCTGCGGCGGCGGAGCAGACACAATCGGCAAATATAACTGCAATGGCGCCAACTATTATTTTATTCGTTGAAGGTGTTTGCTTCCAGACTTATATAGACTCTCACAAGAGCATCTGAACCATTAAGGCCACAACGCACACATCTAAGGGCTTCATTTACCACTCGAAAGCTGCCAGGCTGGCTTAGAGTAGAGATTATCGGTATAAGTTACTCGCATTAGAGTGCACCTATTGTAACGAACCTATAGCGTTGTACCCCTGTGTTTCTACAATCGTACGATAGCACAATATCACAAAGACAAACTAAGTCCAGATGGATGTGGCAAGTCCAGCTGATTCCAGACTGCAAAAAAATAAAGTTTATAAAAAACATTCACCTCCGTTAGTCACTTTTATTTTCTTATGTTTCTTGATATTTTAGATGTTTTCTTGTTTGGGAAATTGCTTTTGTCACGCTTTTCAAAAGTGAATGGAGAGTCTCACAGAGGCTCTCACTTGGGTGAAACTAAGGGGTGCACCTGACTGACAATCTCAACAAAGTCGCAATTCTACGTGCATTGATCACAATGCACTTTAAAATGTCCATTTAGCCCCCATTCAGCTCTCCCCCACCCCCTCTCTCCCTTCTTTCTCCCCACTCCCTCGACTTTCATACCAAATAAAAGTACATGGAGTCCACTCGCGGTCCCCACTTGGTGGGGCAGCGAGCCCAATCTCCTTCCCCCCTCAAAGTTTAAGAGCACAGAGTTTGAGACCCATGTCCACAGAGTTTCTGTACCCGCTCCACCCACATCGTGGTTCGTGCTGCTGTATCGGGCTCCTACTGAAATACAAATGTTTTAAATCCAATTAGTTAGATTTGAATTAAACATTTTAACCGTGACTGGTTTACATATGAGGATGCTGTGGTGATGTAATGGTTAGCACACTCGACTTGCAATCCAGAGCTCCCTGGTTCGTACTCCCGCCCCTGTCCACCCCGACGTGTAAATGGGTACAACCACAGTTAGCCAATCAGCAGGACGCATGTGGTGGGGAAAAGTGTGGGACTCCCACCTCTTCCAAGACGTCGGTGGCAGCATAGAAGAATAGGCCAAATCACCCTCGAGACAGGTTTTCTGGAGCTCCATCGAGTAAAGGCTCTTGTGACAGCAGTGGCATGAGCAAGCAATTGCAGGACTGCAACTTTATTTTCATATGAAAAGTTGGTGCAAATTGGCAATGATGCACAGGCACAAGTCATGACAACTCTCCACCATTATCGTTAACATTGCCTTGCAATTGGAACATATTAATCACGCCAATCTTTCGGAGCTCTGTAGACATATCTGCTGAATGGTATATGTCATGATGAAAGTGGTCAGTGTTTGTAATTTATGCGTGATGCAATATGGTGTCACTGGAGAGACTAAGGTGGTTGGGGAGGTTTGGTGCAAGCTTCACCGCACCGTCGCAAGCCATGCCAGCACCAATGGGTGCTCACTAACATCACTTACCCAATTAACATACCATTGGGTTACCATTGTGTTCATGCAAATATGATACACATTGTAAACCTTGGTGGGTGGTGCTGCACGTAGCTTACGAGATTCACAGTCAGTTGAGAGTGAATTTTCTCACCCCGTCTCCACTATCGGGTTCATCCTCAGCAGGATCATGGATAGACTGGTCCCTTACCATAGGGATGGGTAAATGTTAAAATTAAACCAATTCATTGCTCCACGGATAAAAATAATCGTTAACACTCGTACGGTTGTGAGAGTTCATTGCTTTCGATTTGCATGCATTGTATGGATCCTCTCCTGCTGGGGCAAGGGTTTGTGGCCTGCAACTTGATCCCGGAAACCTAAGTTCAATTCTCGCCAATGGTCAACGTCAGTGGTGAGTGATATCCAAATTGGTTCTGGGCTCCCCATCACCAATTCACGCTGACCAGGGTAGTGAAGTATGGCTAAGAACCCCCCTTGATCAACATGGCATGTGGAAGGCTTCATCCAGTTGGGGGTTGATAAAAAGACTGCAGATTATGATGATAGTTTGGACAACATTAGCTCAACTGACCGCTGTATCCATTAGAGATGCTGCTGGGCACCATAAAATAAACAACAAAAAATGATTCCTAAATCAAATCATGATCACAAATCATGACAATTCATCGAATAATACACAGTGTAGAGAATAACGAAATTACATCCGGAGTGGAGATGGCGTGATGTAATCAGCTCAGGTGCACATGCTAAGTATATTGTGAGATCACAGGGTGACAAGGTGGCAGCAACTTGGGGAGGCCTTCATCTGGTAGTCGTGGATGACTATAACAATACAGCTGATGACTATAACAATACAGCTGATGACTATAACAATACAGCTGATGACTATAACAATACAGCTGATGACTATAACAATACAGCTGATGACTATAACAATAGAGCTGATGACTATAACAATACAGCTGATGACTGTAACAATACAGCTGATGACTGTAACAATACAGCTGATGACTATAACAATACAGCTGATGACTATAACAATACAGCTGATGCCTGTAACAATACAGCTGATGACTGTAACAATAAAGCTGATGACTGTAACAATACAGCTGATGACTGTAACAATAAAGCTGATGACTGTAACAATACAGCTGATGACTATAACAATACAGCTGATGACTGTAACAATACAGCTGATGACTATAACAATACAGCTGATGACTATAACAATACAGCTGATGACTGTAACAATACAGCTGATGACTATAACAATACAGCTGATGACTATAACAATACAGCTGATGACTATAACAATACAGGTGATGACTATAACAATACAGCTGATGACTATAACAATACAGCTGATGACTATAACAATAGAGCTGATGACTATAACAATACAGCTGATGACTGTAACAATACAGCTGATGACTGTAACAATACAGCTGATGACTATAACAATACAGCTGATGACTATAACAATACAGCTGATGCCTGTAACAATACAGCTGATGACTGTAACAATAAAGCTGATGACTGTAACAATACAGCTGATGACTGTAACAATAAAGCTGATGACTGTAACAATACAGCTGATGACTATAACAATACAGCTGATGACTGTAACAATACAGCTGATGACTATAACAATACAGCTGATGACTGTGACAATACAGCTGATGACTATAACAATACAGCTGATGACTATAACAATAAAGCTGATTACTATAACAATACAGCTGATGACTGTAACAATACAGCTGATGACTGTAACAATACAGCTGATGACTATAACAATACAGCTGATGACTATTACAATACAGCTGATGACTATAACAATACAGCTGATGACTATAACAATACAGCTGATGCCTGTAACAATACATCTGATGACTGTAACAATACAGCTGATGACTGTAACAATACAGCTGATGCCTGTAACAATACAGCTGATGACTGTAACAATACAGCTGATGACTGTAACAATACAGCTGATGACTGTAACAATACAGCTGATGACTGTAACAATACAGCTGATGACTGTAACAATACAGCTGATGACTGTAACAATACAGCTGATGACTGTAACAATACAGCTGATGACTGTAACAATACAGCTGATGACTGTAACAATACAGCTGATGACTGTAACAATACAGCTGATGACTATAACAATACAGCTGATGACTGTAACAATACAGCTGATGACTGTAACATTACAGCTGATGACTGTAACAATACAACTGATGACTGTAACAATACAGCTGATGACTATAACAATACAGCTGATGACTGTAACAATACAGCTGATGACTGTAACAATACAGCTGATGACTGTAACAATACAGCTGATGACAGTAACAATACAGCTGATGACTGTAACAATACAGCTGATGACTATAACAATACAGCTGATGACTATAACAATAAAGCTGATGACTATAACAATACAGCTGATGACTGTAACAATACAGCTGATGACTATAACAATACAGCTGATGACTGTAACAATACAGCTGATGACTGTAACAATACAGCTGATGACTATAACAATACAGCTGATGACTGTAACAATACAGCTGATGACTGTAACAATACAGCTGATGACTGTAACAATACAGCTGATGACTGTAACAATACAGCTGATGACTGTAACAATACAGTTGATGACTGTAACAATACAGCTGATGACTGTAACAATACAGCTGATGACTATAACAATACAGCTGATGACTGTAACAATACACCTGATGACTGTAACAATAAAGCTGATGACTGTAACAATAAAGCTGATGACTATAACAATAAAGCTGATGACTGTAACAATACAGCTGATGACTGTAACAATACAGCTGATGACTGTAACAATACAGCTGATGACTGTAACAATACAGCTGATGACTATAACAATACAGCTGATGACTGTAACAATGCAGCTGATGACTGTAACAATACAGCTGATGACTATAACAATACAGCTGATGACTGTAACAATACAGCTGATGACTGTAACAATACAGCTGCTGACTATAACAATACAGCTGATGACTGTAACAATACAGCTGATGACTGTAACAATACAGCTGATGACTGTAACAATACGGCTGATGACTGTAACAATACAGCTGATGACTGTAACAATACAGCTGATGACTGTAACAATACAGCTGATGACTATAACAATACGGCTGATGACTGTAACAACACAGCTGATGACTGTAACAATACAGCTGATGACTGTAACAATACAGCTGATGACTGTAACAATACAGCTGATGACTATAACAATACAGCTGATGACTGTAACAATACAGCTGATGACTATAACAATACGGCTGATGACTGTAACAATACGGCTGATGACTGTAACAATACAGCTGATGACTGTAACAATACAGCTGATGACTATAACAATACAGCTGATGACTGTAACAATACAGCTGATGACTATAACAATACAGCTGATGACTATAACAATACAGCTGATGACTATAACAATACAGCTGATGACTATAACAATACAGCTGATGACTATAACAATAAAGCTGATGACTGTAACAATACAGCTGATAACTATAACAATACAGCTGATGACTGTAACAATACAGCTGATGACTGTAACAATACAGCTGATGACTGTAACAATACAGCTGATGACTATAACAATACAGCTGATGACTGTAACAATACAGCTGATGACTATTACAATACAGCTGATGACTGTAACAATACAGCTGATGACTATAACAATACAGCTGATGACTATAACAATACAGCTGATGACTGTAACAATACAGCTGATGACTGTAACAATACAGCTGATGACTATAACAATAGAGCTGATGACTATAACAATACAGCTGATGACTATAACAAAACAGCTGATGACTATAACAATACAGCTGATGACTATAACAATACAGCTGATGACTATAACAATACAGCTAATGACTATAACAATACAGCTGATGACTATAACAATAAAGCTGATGACTGTAACAATACACCTGATAACTATAACAATACAGCTGATGACTGTAACAATACAGCTGATGACTGTAACAATACAGCTGATGACTATAACAATACAGCTGATGACTATAACAATACAGCTGATGACTGTAACAATAAAGCTGATGACTATAACAATACATCTGATGACTGTAACAATACAGCTGCTGACTATAACAATACAGCTGATGACGATAACAATACAGCTGATGACTGTAACAATACAGCTGATGACTGTAATACAGCTGATGACTGTAACAATACAGCTGATGCCTGTAACAATACAGCTGATGACTATAACAATACAGCTGATGACTGTAACAATAAAGCTGATGACTATAACAATACATCTGATGACTGTAACAATACAGCTGCTGACTATAAGAATACAGCTGATGACGATAACAATACAGCTGATGACTGTAACAATACAGCTGATGACTGTAACAATACAGCTGATGACTGTAATACAGCTGATGACTGTAACAATACAGCTGATGACTGTAACAATACAGCTGATTACTATAACAATACAGCTGATGACTGTAACAATACAGCTGATGACTGTAACAATATAGCTGATGACTATAACTATACAGCTGATGACTGTAACAATACAGCTGATGACTGTAACAATACAGCTGATGACTGTAACAATACATCTGATGACTGTAACTATACAGCTGATGATTGTAACAATACAGCTGATGACTATAACAATAAAGCTGATGACTGTAACAATACAGCTGATGACTGTAACAATACAGCTGATGACTATAACAATACAGCTGATGACTGTAACAATACAGCTGATGACTATAACAATACAGCTGATGACTTTAACAATACAGCTGATGACTATAACAATACAGCTGATGACTGTAACAATACAGCTGATGACTGTAACAATACAGCTGATGACTGTAACAATAAAGCTGCTGACTGTAACAATACAGCGGATGACTGTAACAATACAGCTGATGACTATAACAATACAGCTGATGACTATAACAATAAAGCTGATGACTGTAACAATACAGCTGATGACAACAATACAGCTGATGACTATACCAATAGAGCTGATGACTATTACAATACAGCTGATGACTATAACAATACAGCTGATGACTGTAACAATATGGCTGATGGCTGTGACAATACAGCTGATGGCTGTGACAATACAGCTGATGACTGTAACAATACAGCTGATGACTGTAACAATACGGCTGATGACTATAACAATACATACGTGACTTTACCGAAAAAAAACAATGATTAATTTATGCAGTCACGAAAGCTTTAATTCTATATGAATACAGCTGATGACTGTAACAATAAGTACATCCTGCCCTCACCTTGGAGTAGACGTCTCTCTCCAGTTCTTGGCTGGACCCTGACCCGGCCGACTGCTTGTATTTGCTGAGGCTCAGCTTCATCTGCTTGGTTCTCTCCTCCACTTCCAGAGTGGCTGCAGGAAGCACAGACACACACACAGCAGCTCACGCAAACGGAACATTTGCCAGCGCGAAGAGAACATTCTTAGCTGATTGATGATTGTTAAACTGCGTACGTCAAGATACAGCTCGCGTACATGTTTTCAGGTTATACCACTCATTGCTCGGCCACAGTGTCCGACGTTTTTCTCCACGAGCTTGGCAGCAGGTGCAGACGCTCTCAGAAAGTGGGAGCACCTCCGATTAGCACAGTTGGCTATGTACCATGTGAAAGAAGTTCAACATACGTTACACACGAGTGGAGCGAAACGCCGGAATGCTATTCTTCCTTGCATGAACGTAACCCCCCCCACCCCATGCCCCCCGCCCAGCGAGATGCTCATTGTACACCATGGCGAAACGTCAGATATTATACCGAACAATGCGCATGAATCAAATCGGCAAAGCCATGGGGCAAAAACACAAAGATCCTCTGTATTGCCTGAATAGACTGTTGGGGCAAGTGCTGTTAGCGAGCACCTATGAAGGCAGGCACAGTACACGAAAAGGGTGGGTTGCCAACACCATGCCCGGCCGCCTTTGTCCTCCAAGTGGCGATGTTTACTCACAGCACCAAGTACTCGTTTGAGGCTGAGTCGACCTAGGGGAAGGCCCAGGACCGGCTCAGGTAATCCTCACCGGTGTTGGCCGTGAGCGGCAATTGAACTCGCGTGGCCGTGGGGCAACAGCCGCGAGAACCTTTGCGGGGAGCACGTGATGTCGGGGGAGATAAGAATCCGGTGTGTGGTCACCTCGATCCTTTGGGGGCACTGCCGGGAGCTGGCGTCCTCTCCGCGTTGTGGCCGGCGTTCCAGACGGAGGGCTTTGGCACGGGCTGTGTAGGCGAGGTCTAGGACAACAGAGTGGACGCAGCCGTGAGGCAACTTGCAAGCAAACGATGATGATGATAATAATAATAACAACAGTCGGCGCTGCTGGCTACGCTCGTTCACATTCAGCACTCTCTGCCCCCCCCCCCCCTCTCTTTGGCACCGGCTCCGCCCAGAAATGTTATAAGCACTACCGACGTGCGTCGTGGCCACGAGGGGAGAATTATTTAATGGATTTTTTTTTACGCTGACATTAAGGTTTAAAAGAATGGGCAATGGAGAATCAATGTTCTAGCGGCAACTCAGTGGGAGTGACATTAGGCAAAAGGTAAGCGCAGTGTTGAAAATCAAAGTGGTTTTCCATTCCATAAACTAGAAACAATTTTTCTTTTGCCCGACCCACTGAGCTCTATAGCTCTTTTTCAGAAGCGACCTGGCCACAAATGATAGCTCAACGAAGCGGCTTATTACGTGGAAATTTCTAGCAGCCGAATACTCTAAACGCAGGTGTCTAAATGTGGAGGCAAAAACCGGAAGACCCGGAAAAAAATCCACGTGACCACGGGGATAACATGCAAACTTCAAATATACAGGCACTAGGGTCAGGATGGAACCCACAACCTCCTGTACACCAGGCGAGATAGTTAACATCTCAAACGAGCATGGAGCGGTAATCATCTCCTCTTTCCAGCTACGAGACAGTGGGGGAAATGCCAACCTCATCAAAGATAATGATTTCTGTCTTGTTTTCCCACCGAGTGGTGGACACATTTATCAACACCAGAGGTAGGAAGGGCTGATGTTACTCCCCAACCAGGAATTTAACTCACAACATCCAGACCGCAAGTCAAGCACCACAACGACAGCAGTATCAAGCCACTGTACGGATAACGTCGAAATCGGTTTCGCTTTGAATCGTCGCCAGCTGAGAATTCGAGGAGACAAAGATAATTTTAAGACAGCTGTTATTAAAGATAATTACACGTGGTGGCAATCGGTATGATTGAAATGAGAAGTGGATTAAGTAGTGTACATCTACAGTCCCAAGCAAATTGTGGGAATTAAATAGTGGGAGCGGACGCAAAACGTTAAGATTCCCTTCATTATTGCGAACATTTAGGCACGCCAGTCACTTCACTGCAATTAGGAAAATCTAAAGGAATCATTCCGAATGATCAAACTTAATAATCTGGCGTATAATAACGCATTTAATGAGGAATGATAAAGCACCTACGTGCTCAGTTTAACACATAGGCTTTCACGACCAATATTATTCATAATAAAGAGTTTTGAGTTAGATCGCATAAGTATAGATGTGTCGAAACCCTCCACCACCAAACACAGCCAATCAGCAAGGGATTTGTCACGTAAACAAAATGCCAAATACTTATTACGTTAGCCCACCGGTGTGTTGGAGAGTGAATCCACAATATTTACAATCTGAGTACGACGTTTCGCTGGAATTTACATCCACTCTCCAACACACCGGTGGGCTGAAGTAGTAACTATTTGGCGTTTTGTTGACGTGACAAATCCCTTACTCATTGGCTGTGTCGGGTGGTAGAGGGTTTCGACACATTTACACCTACGTGCTCTAAACCTTGCTATCTGATGAACGGAACTACGGTGACATGGGGTGAAGCTACAATGCACCATGGACACACACACACAGAGGTAACAATACCACTTGCATCACGCTCAGTTCACAATGGAGACGCAATACATCCCTGGTGGCTAGACTGCCCAGTGGTACAAAGCAATTGCAGCTCTCTGTTGACCCGCTGCTAGATGAAGGCATCTCCCAAGCCATGTTGGGTTGTGGGATTGTGGAGTTGGTCGATCATTCTGCACCACACAGGTCAGTGCGAGCTGGTGGAGTGGAGGGTGCTCCAGGGTCAGTTTTGGAATTCGGTCACCACTGAAGTGAGCTGTGGCCAGGAATCGAACTCAGGTCTCTGGGTTCATAGCACAGTGCTCTTATTGCGTCACTGCTCCATACACGGTCTATTGTACATTGTTCCAATGGGTATTGTACAGAAAATGAGCATTTATAGAATTGTGGTGACATCGCGGGATGTCAATGTGCAGTGCTGGCCCTAGAGAGGCACGGCGTGCGGTGTAACAACATCGCGGATACCACAATGGTGTGGGTGTAGTACCGGCCCTAGAGGGGCACGGTGAGCGCTGATTGATTGCGCTAGATGACACCACGCTTGGCGTGCAGTGCCAACCCTACAGGGCAGGGTGTGGGAGTGCCGGCGGTAGGGATGAGGTTACTAAAGGCCATGGCACTCTGGTTGACCCGGGAGGACACGTGACCAGTTAAGTCTACAAAGGGGCCCCAAGTGTGGGGCTAGGGGTGGTCACGTGGTTGGGATCCAGATCCTTCCCGAGGATTCTAGAAGGTGGTCGTGGCCAAGGGCGGAGCCGGCCACGCCGCAGAGACTATAATCCGGGTCACGAGAGGGACCGGGGTTGTTGTTGTTCATCCTGGAAGAAACCTTCGTCTACGTCCTCCGTTCAACGAGTCTCCAACACATGGACCTGGACCCGAGCTGTTGGTCCCGGTCCGTAGAAGCAGTTGCGTTGCAATTAGTGTAGTTAGCCTGGTGGTCACCACCTGGCTAACTACACCAGTCACGTTGTAATTAGTGTAGTTAGCCTGGTGGTCACCACCATGGGTTGTTATTCTGTTAAGGGGAAGTTACACCGTGTGTTGGAGTTCAATAAATGTGTTGCCTCCAAGTCTATGTCTGCGACTCAGTTGAACCCATTACAGAATGAATAAACATTCGTCTGCAGGAGAAATAATCCAAAGATCCCCTGTAGGCTAGCACCGATTAAGGCCAGCACGGTACACAATGGGATGGGTGACCTGCTCTACGTAAGAATAAAGAATAAACACTCAAGCACCTGTTCAACTTTGCATGCACGCTTGTATATCGGGACAGATGCGCGTACGAATTTTTCAAAGGAGTGAACTCTGAAACAGGAATACACTCGATAATGATTATAAAACAATGACAATAACCACTGCCGTTCGTCACTAAGTGGCAGTGACATCACCATGACGATTGTGGCATGCTGATGTTCACTGACAGGAGGTTACAGAACAGACCCAGGTGCCAAGGTTCACTGACAGGAGGTTACAGAAGAGACCCAGGTGCCATGGATTGATTGACCGAGATGACAGGCAGATGCACCGCTTGTGGTCCCCACTGTGGCCAAAGTACTGCGTCTTAGCGAACCGGCACTGTTCACGAGCCTCCTACACGGAGGCCGATTTTTACACCATACTGGTACCTGTCATTGTCAAGTCCACTCAGTTCCACATCCTTCTGTACCACATCAGTCCATCTCTTGTCTAGCCTGTGCCGTGCCCATTTAGCTCTCTCCAGCCAAACTGAAGCTGCTTGGGCATGCAGTGGCTGGGCATTCAGGCAACATAACCCAGCCAACGCAGCCTCGCCTGCCGGAGGAGCCCACTGATGGGACAGTGGAGTGATTACGTAAATTTGTGTAAATGTACAGACTGACACACACGTACACACGACACGAGGACCATTACTGTCAACTGGCATTAAATCAAGAACATTGCATTTCGTTCCCATTCACAATGCACACTGGCATAAACCCTCATTACTGAAGGAGGTCCAGTGGACGGTAATATCATAGACACTCCAGATAAGTTTTAAACTGTCATTCTCATTCAATCACAAAGGCATAGAGAATAGATAATATAAACTAGTGCATGAGAGAACGGACATTCGGGCAGCTATTGAAATAGTTGGTTTTGGTCACTTGCAAATTCTAAATGAATGTTTCATTGTTGCCATGCTTTCTGGTGATCTCAGTTTTCACAGAAAATTAAGCCAGGTTAATTCTGCTGCTCAACCTTTTGCAGGCATGTTAGCAATGAATCGTTAATGTCCTTGAAGAGAAGACATGACATAAATATATTAAACAAATTGGATGGCTGTAGTTTTGCTGAGACGAACCCAAGTGGATCCAGGGCACGTGTCATTTGGCTTGTATCAAGGCACAACGAGCCAAGTATTGTGACTGACTGCATCTGATTGGCCTGCCTCAGCCAAATGACTTCCTGCGCTTGGCCACCAATCCTTTAATTGTCTACAACGAGGACCCACGTATAACAGAGCGGGACCTTGCCTATAAACGCCTGTCAGTTCCCCAGCATTGGTTTAAGCGAGCTCGACTATGCTGCTGAGCAAAATGTTGAATGTCAAAACTGGTCCAGAGTTTTTTTTATTAAACCAATCCTGCTGAAAAATGGCACTCCCAGAAGGCCATGTGGCCGATGGGATGGACAAAAAAACCCACGACTTTTCACGTGGAGAGACAGATATGGGAAGGAGGTGGATTATCTGCAAATTTATATTTTTACTTTTAAAATTGCAGTCACAATGTTTCGTGAGATCCTAAGTACCCCTGATTAAGAATGCATGGGCTGTGTGAAACACGGCTCGGCAGATGAACCATGCCGGGTTAGAACTTTTACTATTGGCATCATGTGGTAACTTCCAAGAGTGCAGTTTCTAACTCTCACGGAGCAGTGGAACCACTCCATGTTAAGTAATTTCCCTGGGTAGGAATTATCATGGAACTACTTATGATATATCTTCAAGTGACCTCATACCTTACACGAAGGGGCAGCACTCCACCACCTTCTCTGCTATAAAGAGATTGGACGCCAATCATTTTAATGACCAGATTTCATACGGTGGCTTTTTATCATGTAGTCAATGGTGACTAGGCTGAGAAGCTGGTTTAATCATAGGTGACTTGCCTACATTCATAGCCAGAATGCCAGTATTGCCAGCTCAATGCTATTACCTCCTGGCAAACCTCACTAATGAGAATTATAGCCACATCTGACAAACGCACCGCATACCAAGTTAAATGTGCTATACAACGTTAATGTAAAAAGGAACTTAAAGTAATTTCCACGTGACTTTCAGGCACACACCATAGAGCCCTCGAGTGGCATTCCAGACTGCGGCAAAGCCGAAGGTTCATTGGTTTGAATTCAGCGAGCCACCCTGGTTATTACTGCGGAGTAACTTCACTTGGGGGGCCCATAGCCCCAGCTATACAATTGTGGGGTTCTATTTGATTCCAGCGCATGGAGCGTACTTTGAAACCCAAAATTGCGACACTGTGCTGGAGCAAGAGATGGAATTTGAGAGAAGCATCGGCAGTTTGTTTTTTTGTTTTACGGAAGCAAATTATAACTGCCATGTCACGGTGGATAGTTGACAAATAACACAATAAAACAGAATCCACCTGCTTTTCGAGCCTATCTTCCTTTGACCTAACTTTTCATTCTTTGACCTTTAACCAAATGGTAAATACCTAGTAACATGTATAAAAGTAACAATATTTGAACGAATAAAGTGTTAATAATGCTCTACTACGTTTCTCCGTTTGCAGTCATCGGTGACTTGGCTGATGCCATCCAATTCACTGCGTACAAAACGAGGCCTCTCGAGGCTGAACAAATGGCATTTGAGTTTAATGCATTGGCCCTAGAGGCTTGCTCTCGAAGGCCTCTAAGGTGCCGGCTCAGTACCCTGACACAACGCATTAGCCCCCTGAGGAGCCCAGCCACCTCGTTCACGCTGTGTTTAAAATTCCATCTCCATTTTTTTCTTTCTCCAAATACGTTAGAGGTTTATTCCCAATTCATCTACAACCCGTCACCCCAATGAGACCATGGGTGAGCCGTCGGATCTACGCTCAACACCTACTGATAAAACGCAGGCTGTAAACAATTGCAAAAAACACTCTTTAGAAATCCTAATACGTCAATCTAGTTAAAATATGTTATTTGTTAAGTAATCAAAAGGGGACATTTTACAGGCATGTCCGTGGAATCTTACATAACAATTCTGGAATCGTGTAAATATTAATGGGATAAGGCAATTGCTTTCACTAAGATTTGCAATGATGTCCTTTGTAACCATTTCACAGTACTTTTATGCAGTTATATTTTTCACAACGAATCATATCCACACTGTGAATGCAACGTTCATGGGACTGACTGCAGTCTCCAATAACTCTGGTGGGGTGAAGGATATATTTGGAAGAAAAAAAACGAGCAAAAAAAATCAACCAAGGATCGCACTGAGCCAATGAGAAAACAAACCAAGGGACCGATCTCAAACAACCCAAGAGAAGATTTGACTCCCAGTCAATGAAAGTTTATTTAAATCCTGGTCAGGAGTCAACTAAGTGTATTGTGCCTCTGGGGTAAATTAATTCAGTCTCACTTTAACTTAAGACGTAGGTTTTCACAACCAACATTATTATTATTCATAGATTTCTGCATTAGGCAATGTAAAAATCCGGCCAAATATTAGTTTATTTTTTTATATCCCTCGACCACCCGGTGTAGCTAAACGAATTAAACTGTGACGTGAACGAGCGTTTAACACGCCAATTTTTGTTTTAGCTCAACAGGTATTAGTAAACTGTGATTGCACTATTGTAACCAAGATCGTAACTAAGATTCATACAATATAACATCTGTACCATCGCAGGATGCCCATTAAATACAGCCGAATAGCTTATTGGGCCCTTCTTGCTAATATAAATAAACCTTTTTTTATAAATAGTCCACATCACTATGGAGAGACTGGCACAACGGTGAGAATATGGAATTTCCACCACTGGCTCAGGGCTGCCAACAGAGATGGGTACGACCCCACTGACCTCAATCTCAATCGCCCAACGACGTTAACCTCATGGACAAGATCGAGCGCCGCGTCGTTTAAGCGACGGCAATGGACATTCACCTCTTATTTAAGTATGTTCAACTTCTCTCGCACCGTGCGTAGCCAACCATTCTAATTGGAGGTACTCGGGGGAAGGACAACAAATTAAACACAAGAAATCAGTTGTAAAGTGATGAGTTTTAAAAAGAGATTTAAAGATGCATATCTTCAGGGGCTAGTAGTCAGTCGCAAGAATATTACTACCACCACTAGGGGATGGGTTGACTATTTGGTGAGCCTTTGTCTTAGGCTAATGATCTAAGTCAGTGGTTCTTAAACTTTACTGTTGCCTTGCACTCCTTTGTTTCTTAATCGTAAAAAAATGTTACGTTAATAAATACATAGGTTTCATGAAACAAAGTAGTTGTACTTACGTGCCCGTGCCTAATTTGTGTTTTCACGATTTACCTTCGAAAAAAATGTGGCCATGTCTCGCACCCCCAGAAAGGGCATCTCGCACCCCCAGGGGGTAGGTGATGCACCCCAGGTTTTACGAGACCACTGCAGTCCAAGATAAGCACAGCACTCGTGGCAGTACGAGTTTGTTAGGGTTAGAGGGGTGGGGTGGGGAGAGTGGGGGGGGGGGGGGGGGGGGGGAGGGGGTCTCCCCCTTGCTGGGGTTCCCCACCATGTGAGTACCTTGGGAGTGCAGGGGAGGGAGGGGCTGACCCCCCACCAGGGCCCGGGGTGAGGGAGCGGCCCAGGTGAAGGTCAGGGCGTTCGGTGGAGCGTGATCGAGCAAGCCTCAGCTCCGACAAACTACGGGCCTCCCCGGAGCGCGGGCCGCCCTGGTAATACCTGTCGGAAGCACCCAGCACGTAGCGAGGTCAAGGCACCGCCAAAACGTTGGGCAGAGCAGCGGTGACTGAGCACGGGGTTAGAAAACGAAACGACCGTCGTTTTGAGCGCTGACTCGATCAAACAAAAAAAAACTGCCACTGAGAGCAGGAGGGTCTTCCACTAAAAGCGGTGGTCCTCAGAGTGTGGTTCCCGGTTCCGCCGGTGGTCCGCGGCGGTCCTCCAGGTGGTCCACACGGGGCTGTGATGCAAACGCAGGTTGATCCGGAATGACAATGTTTGTACCTTTGGTTTCGGACGTTAATTTATTTTTCATATTTAATTTTACGTTAGGAAAACTACCCTGATTAAACTACCCTAACTCAAAGATCTAAATGCCTCCTCCCTCCCCCCTGCCGACCCTCCCCCATAAAAAAAATCCCCTTACAGCTGCGTCATTTATTTTTTTTATTTTTAAGAGCGTTCCAGACGGCCCCAGAAGCGCATCTGAAAGTGTGCGATGCAGTGACCGTCTTTGTTAGATGGCTAGCCAAAAGCCTCTGCGAGGATGACCGGAGTTCGAGTGATGGTGCAGCTCCTTGACAAGATCAACAAGGTATTGTTGGCAAGAACTTTGTGTCTAATGAGTGCGACCTATAAACGTGTTCGTTCAATTCCCAGTTGACTCAGCTCTCCTTTGGTAAAATATGAGTATGGCATTATGGGAAATCAACAGTGGTTTATCCGTGGTTAAACTGGCCTCTGCCTCTGCTAAAACAATGTGAAATTCATGCCAGTGCCACAGTTTGGCTTGTGATGCATTGTCATGAGACAAAGTGGTTGCTATGAAGCTTTTAAGAGTAATGCCTAAAAGGATACACACATCTTTAATGTTCCTATTTAGTACAGTTTTATTTTTAAAATAATCTCAAAATCGCGTCTTTTCAAAATGTGCAACTAGCTCCGTTCCTGTTTGTGCGGTCATTATTGCTGACGGGGCTACACAAACTAGACCACTGCATTTTTAGATATTCTCATTGTTGCCTTTGTGTTAGTGATGGTGGCTTCATCATTTTGCTCTTTCCTTCTCGCTGTCGTTTGAAAAACTATTTGGCGACACTGCTGCATTGGGAGTGGTGCAAAAGCAGGCATAATCCCAAACAAATCAACACATTCGCCAATAACAGTGGCCTCAAAAGGAAATACGTCTCCCCCTTCTATGTCGTTGAGCAAATACGTCGTCACTTTATTAACACCGCTACCCGATTCGCATCGCCTCGACCCCACACTCACATCGCTGACACAGCACAGTCCCTCCTGTCTCGTTATCCATCGCCTCTCAGCCTTCGCCTCCACCGCCTACCCCCGTGAATCGCTCTGATTGACGTCGTTTAGATATTCGTTGTCACACCTTTCAGGAATGCATCCCCGACATAAACCGGGATATTGCTGTATTTTGTTTTAATATATTAAATGGATTAGCCCACAACGTCATGTGCACGTCGTGTGCTCAGAAGGATAATTTCCATTGGCTGAAAGATCACCTCTATATTTTTTTTTATTTTAAGGTGCGATTGACAAACGTGTTGAGTGTTTCGTTCGCTATTAAAATATTCATATTATTGTTCTCATTCTGCCATTATTTGTCAGTCCTCCATACATATTTCTGTGACTGACAAGGTTAAATGCTGGTCGCTCCACATCTCCTTGGCTGCTTATATTTTAAATTGCCATCTTGTCTGTAGCTGTTTTTTTTTACACTGCTTAGAGGATAATATGTTTCATAAGCAATGGCCTCTTCTTTGTTTGACAAAATCATCCCTAAAATAACGAATACATAACCCAGCCCACAATCCTTATTCCTTGGCAAGATTTTAACCAGACAAATTATAATACATACTAATAACACTCACAATGTAAATCATAATACGAATGGCATAAAATAGTCTACACTTGCAACATCACAGGATCTTCTAAATACATACAAATGAATAGTCACCCTATTTCATTGAGGGCAAATGAGGATTGATTTATATAAACGAAATTATACATTTATACTCCAAGAGAAATTATTTGTTTACTGTGTGGGGAGAAGTGCTGTTCGTGAACACATATTAAGACCCGTACAGCAAACACAAAGATCAAACGGAACTAAAGGTATTTTTTTTTACTTTATCAGGTAAATCCCACTGAGCAATGTAGCTCTTTTTTCAGAAGCGACTTGACCACAAATGACAGCTCAACGAAGTGGCTTATCATGTGGAAACGGAAAGCAGCCAAATACTCTAAACGCACGTTTCTAAATGTGGAGGGAAAAACCGGAGGACCCGGAGAAAAATCCAAGCCATTACAGGGAGAACATGCAGACCCCAATTATATAGGCGTCAAGGTCAGGATCGAACGCACGACCTCATGTATACCAGGCGAGACAGTTAACATCTCGCCACCGTTGGTTTGGCCAGCACCACATTTCAGTTTCAGTTTTCATTTATTTGGTAGAGCCCTGTGAGCCATTCGGATCTTGAATCGGGTGCAACCGCAACAAACAAAAAAACAAAAAAACATGAACAAGAAAACATCAAGTGACTAGTGACTGTGCAAACAGAAAATCCAGGAAAAGACAGCAAAATATTCCTGAAAAAAGCACCGTACACCAACGCTGTGTGCAACAAATCCCAGTGGGATGCAAGTCAAACAACAACAACAACAACCACAAGAAAACTTAGATTAAGGCCATCAGTCTAACTCCGTACTACAACAAACAAACATGGCCCAAACCAAAAAACGTTTTCGACATCACCAAAATAAAGCCATAAAAGCATTGCAACAGTGATCATAGGAACTGTGACCGAATTTTCACAATAAACGACATAAACAACATATAATACCACATATGACCGCCTTTGGGCTCCCCTCATATTGATATAAATGCACCCATAGCAGGTATTCATTTTAGGCTGACTCAACCAGGGATAATCCCAAAAAAGATTCAGACATCAAATGCCAAAGGCGTGCTATGCTGAAGCTGATCCTGAGTGTTCAGCACTGCTGTGCATGCCAACCGATACACCACCACTCTCCAACAACGAGAACGGATCTCCCCGTATGGTACAATAGCATGTATACATCTTCACAAAAGCTTTCGCAGATATGCAGAATAGTTGTCATTATATATGTACACATAGACAATAGAAGTTTCAGCATGCACACATTTCATCGCAGCGCGCACATTATTCAATCAAATGTGTTACTCGAGAAGTATTTTTTTTATTGTAAACTTACATGGATGCTTGTAATGGAAAGATACCTTTCCAATGGCACTCCGTTGATTCGGCCCAGTTTAACAATGTCAAAGGAAGAGGAGGTGTGAACTGAAGGCTCGGTCAGTGTTATAAACACAGAGGACTTGTGTAGGCAAAAAGGAATTTACAAGGGATGGCTTCCTGTACCAATGTAGGGCCATGTGTGGAATAAAAGGTGTTAAGAGATGCTCTACAAGGAATTTCTTCAGAAATATTTAAATAAAATAGCAAAAACAAGTTTTATTTGGGATTAAAGCAGCTATGCACTCTGCGTTTTGTTTAAAATCAACAACATCGTATAATAAACAATGTTAACAACTTCAAAGCACGAGACAAACGGCACAAAGTCTCGCCGCACTTCGCAAAACACCGTTGAAAGATGCCCCGTAAGTTTATTTTTGTCTTTGGTAAGCACAGCGCTCTGGTTTACATTTGTCAGCGAGGTAAAAAATCTGCATTCAAGTTCAAGAAAGAATTGTTTGTGCTCGGAATAAAAGCACCTCAGTGAGCCACAGCTGGCATGGGTAGAGCATACAGCACCGTCTCCCCACTATTCGTTTCTTTTACAGTTTTTTTGTTTTTACCAGGTAAGGTCCACTGAGCTACACTTAGCTCTTTTCAAAAGCGACCTGGCCACAATGATAGCTCAACGAAGTGGCTCATCACGTGCAAATGCATAGCAGCCAAATACTCTAACGCACGTTTGTAAATGTGGAGGCAAAAACCGGAGGACCCGGAGAAAAATCCACGCAACCATGGAGAGAAACAGGCGTCAGGGTCGAGATCGAATCCACGACCTCCGCATACCAGACATATCGCCACTGTGGTGCTTCTTTGATCACTTGTCCACCCAAACAGAAGTGTAGTAGGCCACTACATGTAAACAAAGACGGTGGTCACCGCATCGCGCACTTTCAGATGCGCTTCTGCGGCCGTCTGGAACGCTCTTCCTCGCGATATTAATAAGCCACTGTAGCAACGCACTCTTGAATCTAGATTGGAAACGAATTTGTTTAGGACTGCTTTTTTGTGTTCAGTTTGTTGTCCTTCCCCCGCACCTCCAATTAGCACGGATGCCTACGTACGGTGCGAAAGGAGTTCAACGCACATATTAACAAATGGGCCAATGTCTCGCTGAAGGTAGTTCGAGGGGATATTTACACAACACAGTCCTGTGGGGGAGGGGGGATGCTCCCGTAGTGTAATGCTTAGGACACAGGACAAGCGATCCACAGGCCGCAGATTCGATTCTCTCGGCGGGCACGGCAGTTGAAAGTGCTGCAGGTTTAAATTTTGATTTAAAGCTTTCGTGACTGCAGTAATTCATATTCTTAGTTCTTTCGGTAAAGTCACGTTGAAGGGAAACAACAAAATAATAAAATATATATAAAAAACAATAAAAATTCTCACGACGTTTCGACCGTTTGTGTTATGGTCGAAACGTCGTGAGAATTTTGTATTGTTTTATATATATTTTATTATTTTGTTGTTTCCCTTCAACGTGACTTTACCGAAAGAACTAAGAATATGAATTGCTGCAGGTTTCTTAAACCCCCCTGCCTCCGTCCACAGTGCAGCAGTGTGAACGGGTGCACCGCAGTTAAGTCTCTTTCGCAGGTCGCGTTGGGAGGGGTAAAGTGTGGGCGACCCCACCTGCCCAGCGTGGAATAGTGGGCCACATTTCATCTAAATGGGCTCTCTGGGGGCTTCCTCTGGTGCAGGCCCATTTGCCAGCAGTGGCGTGACCCGGCAATGGCAGACTTTTCCACCTTTGCTCTGTACAGTATTTGCAGATTACATTTCAATGGGCTGAACAGGGTTAAATATAATTCATTGTATTTGTACTGCTCTGCGCTGGGTAACTCGTGTTGATAGCATGAGCGGAGTAAGGATTAACAGGAATGTTGTACCCTGTGTCCTGAAGGACTCACAATCTGACATTTGCGAATACGATGCCTGGATTGGGTGGGGTGTCGCTCAGCCCATCAGCTTCTCAGGGTCCATAAAATAAATACCAACCAGAGCAAGACACAAATTGGCTGACAAATGGGGAGACTGGCTCACACTTAAGGATTCTTGAATTTATATTAATACGCTGATAGTCTGCAAAGGTAATAATCACCACCGGAATACGCATTCGACAATGGATGACAGACAGTTCAACCTACACATTCAAACCACTGCATACATGTTTTGTTGGCACTCTAGGATAGAAAATAAATAACAATTCAAAACGGTTGCTGAAATGAATCCGGTGTTTACTTTACAGCGATGCTCACAATGTTTCACTAACCTTGTGTTGCGAATGGAAAACACAAGCAGGGCTCAACATCACATAGACTAGTCCATGGGCCAAGACCAAATATTTTACTTGTTGGTATCAGAAATGAGATGGTAAAATAATGTTGATAACATCTTTAAACCACTAATATTAGTGAATTACGCTAAGCATATATGTATGTTGAAATCATCATTAGACCTCCTTTGCCAGTAACAAAATGTAAAAATAGGGTTTTCACCCTTTTTTCTGGCAAAAAAAAGTGTTTGCATTTTGACTGCAGGTATTGTGGTTAATACAGACATTAATCCTTATAAAAAAGGTTTCAGTTTTGTTGCCAGAAAAAAGGGGAAAACCCCTATTATTATGTTGAAATCCTTCCTCACCGTACGTATCCAAAGGTGCTAATCTAGATTGAAAACTCATTTCTTTAAAAGTGCTTTTCGTCTTTCGTTTGTTGTCCTTCCCCGCACCTCCGATTAGCATGGTTGGGTAAGTATGGTGCAAAAGAAGTTCAACATGCATACATCCAATTAGAGGTGCGGGGATAATAATCTGCTTACGGAAGCTGGTATCACCAATTAGTTGCCACCTCTAGTGGCAGTGATCTCTGCTCCAACCCATGGACTAACATCACCCGTGTCTGCTCCTGATGAAGCCACACACTGGGGGGGGGGGGGCAAGGGGGGGGAGCAAGGGGGGCAGAGAGGAGTGACGTAAAACAGCTGTACCTGTCCGTCTCGTACACGCTGCTTTTCCGCGACTTGAGACTATGGGATCGCTCGAGGGGCTTGCCGTGGCGGCTGAGCCAAGCAGCCCCCAGGGTGGCGGGGAGAAGGAAGAAGAGGGGGGCAAGCGGGCGGGGAAAAGGCCACGCCGAGGTGCAAAGGAGAGGAGAGAGACAACGAGGGGAGGAGGAGAGGATTAACCCGGACAAATGGAAATGGTGCGAGGAGCCAAGGCATGTTGATGCACTCTCGTTGTTGTTGTTGTTGTTTTTTACACAAGCACATACATTGCACCGTTGACTTTTACAATGCTGCGTGTTTTGTTACAGCCATAACATATCTCACATTCCTATTCAGCACACCGAGACAAAGATCTCCCCGCGTAGCCTTAACAGACTGTTGGGGCAAGTGCTGTTAGTGAGCACCTATGAAGGCCGGCACGGTACACGTGGGGGGTGGGTGGCCAGCACCACGCCCGGCCGCCTTTGCCTCCCCAGTTGCGATGTTTATGCACTGCACTAGGTACTCATTTGATGCTGAGTCGACCTACGGGAGCCCCAGTACCGGTTCAGATAATCGTTACTGAATCGAACTTGAGTTGCTGGGTTTATAGTAAAGTGCGCTAACCACTACACTACCGCTCCCCAACTAATTACATAACTAGATACGTACATATTCATGCAGCAGTGTACATGTGTACACATGCACACACATTATCACAAACACACACTTTATTCAGCCTTATGGCAAGCATGATTGCTTTTGGGATGACAATAAATTGACAATTATACAATACGTTGTTATTGTTATCCTATATTTAATGTAAAATGTTACTCCATCTGGAGCTGTATACATTGCGTTTTGGACAAGTTGTGACACGTTTGTGCAAGTGAGCTGGTTTAGAATTAGCCATGAAGTATATGTCACAGCTATTAGGTTTAGATTGGTGTATATCTGCAAAAAAAATTATTGCTTGAAGCCATAGTCTCATAGTTCATATCCTAGAGATTTAATGAAAACTGTAAGAATGTTTTTATCTCTTAGTCCCTTTAAGCATGCATCTTTGCGAATGCGGCACGTAATTAACTTTAAATATTCAACTTTAACGTGGCCATTATAATAGTGCATGCTTGACTTAAAGCTTTCGTGACTGCAGGAATTAATATTCTTGGGTCTTTCGGTAAAGTCACGTAGATAGGTTCAAAGAAAAACCCAAGAATTTTGTACAGGCTCTTTGATCACGGAATTAATATTGGCACTGAAAAAAAGTACTTATGATTATAGTACGGCATAATTATTAAAATCGTTTCCGTGATGAATCCACATGCACGCATATAAGGAAAAGCTAACCAAATGTCCCGGTTTGAGCTAGGGTTGTCCCAGTTTCAGAAAGGCCGTGCTAAATGTTGTGAAGCATTCGAGAAAATGTAGAGTTTGTTCCCATTTCATAAATGTACGGTGCCACGTTTGACTCTGTGATACATACAGAGGAGGGTGCTAGCTAAGTAGTGGGCGGGATTGGCGGAGAAGGCGGGGCCAGTGTGAAAGTGGGTGGAGCTAACTGACAGAGGGAGGGGCTGCCAACTCGCCATGTGTCTCTGTGGAGCCATGCTGAAACGTGGTAGCTATAATGTAAATTAACTATTTTAACGACTTAGCTATGTTTTTTTTTATTTTACCAAGGTAGATATTCAGGCATTCACACTCATCAAATGTTTACATGCACTCTTACACACGTATATTCACAGTGTATCCTTTGCATTAGTGCCCATTTTCAGCACTTGTTGGTAATGCAATGTCAGAAATGTCAAAATACTCAAAATGCGCGTGGCTTGACTAATTTACACCAATTCAGTTTATCCACGAGACTCAACAAGCCTGCTATCAAAGCTTCCACAGTGTTCTGTGAGAAAATAACACTGACGGTCTCAGGGTTAATACTCTACTTATCCGGAGATGGTCGTGAATAAGCAAATTTCGTAGGTAATTATATTTTCACGAATCCCCTGAAAAAAAACCCTGTAAAAAGCTATTAAATGTCTCATCTCTTTATCTCATCACTGTCTCATCGCTTTATCTTATCGCTTTATCTCATCACTTATCTCTGATCAATGTATCTCTCATCATACTCTTTGGTTCTATTGGGTAAAGTCACGTAGGTGAAAATAAAATAGCAAATAATCACGACGTTTCGGCCACAACACAAGCAGCCTTCATCAGGTGAAGGGACGAGACTGTCTGGAGGACAGCGTTGGAGTGGGAGAAGCCACGCATAGATCACGACCTTTAAGCTGTGTGAGAAGAAAAACACCAAGCGCCTTGACAAAGGAATTAGCATATAATTTAGCATTGAAATGGCTCATTGAAATAGCTAAGTTAAAGTATACACATCGGCAGAGGTACCCCTTGACAAAGGAATTAGCATATAATTTAGCATTGAAATAGCTGAGTGATTAGCTTGTAACTGGTCACAGAAATAGCTATGTTAAAGTCAGAGCATATACATTCACCGAGGCACCTAGTACTCATCAAACAGGAGAATTTAACGAAATACAACCATGCTCAGACAGCGGATCTTTAAACTGTGTGCGAGCAAACAAGGTGTTCTGACATCAATTTATCTCATCACTTTATCGCATCACATTCTCTCTCTTGATGCAGTGGTGAGATGCGCGGATCGCCAAAATCGCGGATAGCAAGTTCATGAATAACGAGGCAATACTGCAATCAATCACAGCCCACTGTGTCCCCAGCTACATATGAATCTGCTGCCTCTCTGTAAACCCACGTCTCTGTTGAATAGTCCATACATTCCTGAGCATGCACGAATTCTTTATTTAATTAGAAAATGTAATTTATCATACATCCATGGCCTGAGATGGAAATTGTTGTTATGCAAGGGAGACCTGGGTGAAAAAACCCACGAGAAATGACAACTCTAACGATTGTAAATTACAGCAATTGTAAATGACATAATATCATATACAAATAAACTGTGCAATGCACTACAGTCGCGCTGGGTATCCGAGGTATATTGTTTTTAGCAAATGTATGCGTTGCTTGTAATTCGCGTTCTTATAAACCACAATCCATCACCCCTGGCAATAAACAAGACTGACGCACGAACGCACACGCATCATTCCTAAATAAAAATCCCCAAAACAGTTTTTTGACGTGCTTGATATTACGCTCGTTGATAAAAGTTGATCGCAATTGAGAGCTTTCAACTGCGCCGTTCATCCTTGATGGCGTTGATCTCTGAGAGGCGTTTGATAGTGCACTGCCACGTGTCTTCCAGGATGGCACGCGGTCCCAAAAAAACCACCAAAGTCAAAAACAAAAAAGCAATACACCGGTTTTCCCACACATCAAAAGATATATTCTGTCGTCGGAGTTGTGTAAAAGTAAGAAAGTGACGGTGCAGCCCCACCAATGTCTTGGTCATGCTACTGGTAGAGCGGCCTCTACCGGCAGGGTTCCCACGGTGGCTAGGAGATGTTAACTACCTCGCCTGGTATACAGGAGGACGTGGGTTCGATCCCGCCCCTGACGCCTGCTGCTGTATATTTGGAGTTTGCGTGTTCTCCCCGTGGTCGCGTGGATTTTTACACGCTTTTATTTAACTCACTCTGTATGTTGTTGCTGTTGTTGTTGTTGTCGTATCCTCAAATCTTGTAACTCAATTTTAACCCACTTCCCAATGTGCTATCGACTGCAAACTTGGTATACTTATGTCTTACGGATGACAATACTATATTCTATCATTAAAAATATATATTTTTAAACAATCTTTTTACACGCTTTCTATTAAATCACTGTCTGTTGTTGTTGTTGTCGTCGTATACTCTAATCTTGTAAATCTATTTTAGCCCACTTCCCAATGTGTTATCGACTGCAAACTTGGCATACTTATGTCATACTGATAACAATGCTATATTATATCATTAAAATAAAAAAAACATATTTTTTAAAAATTCTTTTGTATATGTTATGTTTCGGCTTGGGTCTAATTGTCCACGCTGAACTGACGTTGGCTGTAAATCACCACGGCCCCATAAGTTGTGGCAAGCTTCGGGGCCACTTCCTGGAGTCGTGGAGTTTTGCCGTTACGAGTACGGTACATTTCATTAAAGCGTGTTTTTAAAAAATATATATATTTTAAATATTACTTATTCTCCGGATCCTCCGGCTTTTCCCCTCTACATGTATTATAATTAATGTGCGTTTAAGGATTTGGCTGCTGCTATATATTTCCACGTGATAAGCCACTTCGTTCAGCGATCGTTTGTGGTCCAGGTCGCTTCTGAAAAATAACTATACAGCTCAGCGGGCCTTACCTGGTAAAATAAAAATTCGTTTGAATAGTTTCAATAGCAGGAGTTATGGACTCCCTCTAGAGGGTATTTGGCAAGCTCTTCCATGCTGGCCACGCATCTTAATAGAGTTGCAAGTACCCACATATTAGCCAGCTACACAAGACCTGCAAATTAACTATGTGTACATACTCTTTGGTTCTTTTGGTAAAGTCACGAAGATCAAAAAATAAATAAATAATGGGGATACATTACCTTTTATGTATTTTTTATTTTATAAAAGTAAATAAACTTTTATTAAATAATAGGGGTTTTCCCCTTTTTTCTGGCAACAAAACTGAAACCTTTTTACAAGGATTCATGTCTGCATTAACCACAATACGTGCAGTCAAAATGCAAACAAAAAAACATACTATGATAATATATGTGGCATTGTCCTTGAAACTGAATGGTCCATACCAAGGGACGGCTTTCTTTTGAGCCTCGACCCAATTGGTGCTCGACCAGATGACGCCAAAAGGCATACAGCTCAAAGACAATGCACCATCAAAGTAATGAGGGCTCGGGGTGAGCATCTACATCATTAGACCTCCTTTGCCAGTACCAAAAGGTTCAGTTTTGTTGCCAGAAAACAGGGGAAAAACCCTATTATTACATTTTGGTACTGTCAAAGGAGGTCTTAATGATGATGGATAACTTTTATTCATTTTTATTTTTCACCTACGTGACTTTACCGAAAGAACCAAAGAGTATGGATCCTTGCAGTCACAAAAACTTCAAATCTAGAATGAATAACTACGTGTGCTGTACCCATTTACACGACTGGTTGGACAAAAAAAAATACTTGGCGTTCGTGTCAACTGCCGAGCCGGGACATCGAATTAAACAGGCGACCACTGGACTGCAAGTCCAATGTGATAACCATTACACCACGGCATCATCCTGCGCAGCTGGGTAACGAAACACATTTAATGAAGGTCAGTGCACATCCAATGTGACTACTGCTCGAGACGTCTACCGGCTTGCTCTTCGAAATCAGACACAACAGGTTCCCGTGAGCCACCCAGCATTCTCCACTTGGTGTCCGTGCCCAGCCGACGAGGGGGTGGGAGAAAGGGGGGGGGGGGGGGGCGGAGGGGCTCATTCCGGGGTACCTGTCATCGTCGGGCGAGGCATGCTGAATGAGAATCCTAGGGCTATCTGGTCGCTGTCTGTCTAGCGACAAGAAGTGTCTGCTGAGAGAGTTTGGGCACACACACACATAAAGACATACACACATACACACACACATACAGACATACATACACATACACACATACACACACATACAGACATACACACACATACATACACACACATACACACATACATACACATACATACAGATATACACACACACACATACAGACATACACACACATACAGACATACAGACATACACAACAACAACAACCGCCATTCACCACTAAGTGGTGGTGACGTCACCACGACGCTTGTGCCAGGCTATGTGCACCCTGAGGCCACGTGAAGTGTCGAATGCCCGCTGGCAGGAGGTCACGGGGCAGACCCAGGTGCCACGGGTCGACTGAGATGACTGGCTGATGCACCACCTGTGCCCCCTACTGTGCCAACCTGCTGTGCTTTAGCCACCCGGCGCTCCGCTCGTTGTTGTGAGCGCCGTTCCTCCGCCCTCCGTTGTTGTTGGAGGGCGACTACCTCCAACTGCCCAGTAGCGTCCTTCACGAGCCTCCTCCACAGAGGCCGATCTTGACACCGCTGGTACTAGTCATCGGCAAGTCCACTCAGCTCCACGTCCTCCTGTACCACATCACTCCATCTCTTCTCTAGCCCGTGCCGCGCCCGTTTAGCCCCCTCAATCCGGCCGAACAAAAGCTGTTTCGGCATGCGGTGGCTGGGCATGCGGGCTACCTGACCCAGCCATCGCAGCCTTTCCCGCCGGAGGAGCTCACCGATGGGACCTTGCCCAGATCTTTCAAGGATTTGTGAGCTCCTCACACAATCCAGTCTGGTTAAACCCAGGATGGATCGTAGGCAGGCCAGCCTAAATGTTTCTAACCGGCGAAGATGTTCCATTAGGGGGGTCCACGTTTCGCAAGCGTAGAGAAAGGAGGGAATGACCGTGGCCGAGAAGACCTGAAGCTTAGTGCGGAGCGACAGACCAGGTAGCTTCCACACAGCATTACACAACCGATGAAAAGATATTGCCGCTCGACTGATTCGGAGTGAGACCTCTATTAAACTGGAGCCGGTCATAAGCACACTGCCCAGGTATGGGAAACTCTCCACTCGCTCCACAACTGCCCCATCACCGATTGGCAGTTGTGGGGGTGTAGTGTCCGATGGTACAAAATACCCAGGCAGGTGCTTAGTTTTGGTGGGGCTGATGGTATGGCCCCACCTCTTAGTGGCACGCTCCAGTCTCAGCAGCAGCGTCTCCAACTCCTCCTCTGAATGATCAGCTATTACCAAATCATCAGAATATAAAACCGGGAGCAAGCGAGGGCTTTACCATTCTGGCGAATTGCCCGATGCTGCTGGATGTATTTACCAGCGAAACGTCGTACTCAAACTGTAAATGTTGTGGATTCACTCTTCAACACACCGGTGGGCTAAAGTAGTGAATTATTGTCTTTTGTCAACGTGACACTTTTTTTGCTGATTGGTCGTGTCGGGGTGTGGAGGGTTACGACACATTTATAAATAACGCGATCTAACCCAAACACCTTTATTATGAATAATATTGGTCGCGAAAGCCTACGTGTTAAACTGATACATAACGTGGTTGAGCAATAGGGAGCCATCCCTTGACCGCACCCGGGCATCGATCAGCCTCCCATTATATCTGTACCATATGGAGATTCCCCCGGTACAGCTATTGAAGGCTTCACAAACTACGTGGTCAAAATAGATGTTAAATAATTTGGGAGCCAGAGGACATCCCTGTCGCACCCCAAGGTGTACAGGGAATGGCTCTGACTCCCGACCACGTAGTTTTACCCGGGCCCGCTCACCATCATGAAGGTCCTTAATGATCGTGAGCAGAGGGTCAGGTACTCCAAAAGCACGAAGAACAACCCAGAGCCCAGGCCTACTGATGGTATCATAGGCCTTGACCAGGTCAATAAATCAGAGATGTAGGTCTTGTTGGAATTCCCTACACCTCTGCTGTAGCAGACGGACAGAAAATATGGCATCTGTGCAGGACCGCCCTTTCCTGTAACCGCATTGGGGCTCCGCAAGCCTCTCCTAAGCGTGCCTGGCAAGGCGATGCTGAATAATCCTTGCCAGGACCTTTCCCGGCACACTGAGGAGTAAAATTCCCCTGTAGTTGTTACAGTCTGTGCGGTCCCCCTTCTTAAAAAAGGGGGACCACCAGGGCATCCTTCCAAGTGGTCCAGACTGTTGTTATGATGTCATATAGGGCAGTCTGTGCACAAACGCCACCCTCCCTCAGCATTTCGCTTGGGAGATCATCTCTGCCCGCTGCCTTTCCTGGTCTCAGACTCCGGATCGCCTTCAGTACTTCCTCAACAGATGGCACCTCAGCCAACCACTCACAGGGGGTGACTTCTTCCAATATTTGAGGCACCGCAGCCTCAGCAGGGTCATCCTCACGTTGTGCCACGATGTTTTCCTGGCTGATGGATTTTCCCTCCCTCAGGACCTCACAGAAATGCTCAGCAAATCTGCAAACCTGTTCCTGGGGGTCGGAGATTGGATCACCGTTTTTTCCCCTAATGATGGTAATAGGTGTGGCAACCCGCGACCACCACCCATCCTTGCAGCGCCTCACGGCTCACACACACACACAGACATACACACACACATACAGACATACAGACATACACACACACATACAGACATACACACACACAGACATACAGACATACACACACATATATACATACAGACATACACACACACACATACAGACATACACACACACATACAGACATACGGCGCATACACACACACATATAGACATATAGACATACAGACATACACACACATACACACACATACAGACATACACACATACAGACACATACAGACATACACACACATACACACACATACAGACATACACACACATACAGACATACACACACACATACAGACATACACACACACATACAGACATACAGCGCATACACACACACATATAGACATATAGACATACAGACATACACACACATACACACACATACAGACATACACACATACACACACACAGACATACACACACATACACACACATACAGACATACACACACATACACACACATACAGACATACACACACATACACACACATACAGACATACACACACACGACGCGCCAGCGCGGCCGTTACACTCGGCGAGCTCACGCGCTGTCAGCCGGAGACAGGGAAAGGGGGGGGGGCGACACAGGCAGTGGGAGGGGGGGGGCGGCGGAGGCAGCACTTTCAACTTCTTCAGCGAAAGCAGAAAACACAGGCGCACCTCGCTGGTCAAATAACACGCGAACGCTGCTTCGGCAGCAGAGCACCATGGGGTGGGGGAGGGAGGAACTATCCCTCGATACTTTGCAAATCCCACTCAGGCGGGGAAGGTTTCTCTCAGCGTATTGAGAGCTCGGTCACCATCATAGGCACTTGAAGATTGGAACGGCAAAATGGCATTCGACTGCACATGCAGGGTGCGTCTTTTAAAGGTACACCCGAGTACGTTGAAAAACAAAGTTACTTGGGTGCACTTTTTTATTGTAAAGACACAGCCTGTACGAAAAACAGCAACAATATATCCATGTACAGCTCCTTGTCGGTCCAATGTTGAATGAAGTCCTCCCCCAGTCATACGGGTTGTTTGACCATACCCAGACAATGCGGGTTGGTGATGTTGGAGAGAGAGGGGGGGGGGACGGAGAAGTGGATCAGGCCTGGTTCAGAAGATGTCACTCATCGCTGACGTGAACCGTGGACCGGAATCAAACTCTCCCACTGCCTTCTTGCAGCCTTAAATGGAAACAGATCTTAAGTTTTAGTTTGTATACTAGAGGCCTGACTGAAGGTGATTTATAATTACTTTGAATGGCCTTAACAATGACCCTTCGTATCCCTTTTTCTACCAGGTAACCAGTTAATAAAAAAAAAATCTCCTGGGACCTCCTTTGCCAGTACCAGAATATGGTAATAGGTTTTCCCCTTTTTTCTGGCAACAAAACAGGTGTTAAGATGTTATAACACCAAACTGAAAGGCGCCTTTTGGCATCCTCTGGTCTCACACCATTTGAGACGAGGCTCCAAAGAAAGCTGTCTCTGGTGTGGACCAATCAGTTTCAAAGACAATGCCAATATATTATCAGAGTATGTTTTTTTGTTTGCATTCTGACCACAAGTATTGTGGTTAATGCAGACATGATTCCTTGTAAAAGGTTTCAGTTTGGTGTTTTAACATCTTAACACCTGTTTTGTTGCCAGAAAAAAGGGGAAACTTATTCTAAAATAAAACTGTTTAGAAGAAGCAAGTTTGTACTTTTCTTTCAAACTGGAAATTGTATTATATTCCTTGCAAACAAATGTATACACGTACACATGTTACATGTTGTGTACAGGCATATATGCTGCATTTCCATTTTTGCACATTGGCCAGAATGGCTATATCTTGCTGGGGAATGTGCACATTAATTAATGAAAGCAGGCTTTAGAAAGAATGTTGAGCCATAAACATGACTTTGTGAGGCAAATAATTGGCATCATGCTTGGAATTTACAGAACTGTGCAAATGATCTTGTTTATACCTGCAGGAACACTGCGTTTTTTAGTTATTTTTTATAGATTGTTTTTCTGTTACAACTGGCTCAGAGCAAATCAACACAACACCCAGAGTTTTACAGAAGAGTGAGGGTGGTGGTGGTGGTGAGATGGGATTAATTTTACTTCCTTAAATATACTTTGCATTGCTGCTCCTCATGGAAACGCATATCAATGCAATGCAACTTGCAGCACAAAACACGCTGTACTCTGGCAAAAAAAACAATCATGAATCCCTGCAATGAGGCAGGTGGTTCCAAAAAGCGTCCTCCATCTAACAACTATCATGTACATTAAACACTCCACAGGCCACACCAATTTATGCCGACCTAATTCGTGCTTTGCAGTAGATGCACACGTGTGATGCATACTGCTTGCATACACGGGGAATGAGTTTCACGTTGATTTTAATACGTTTAAGAAAATGTTTAGATTTCTTCCGGTTAATTCACATGCCACGCAATGCGACGTGGCGCCGCTTTTGATGGGAAAATAGTGGACGTGATGTGATGTTTGCAGCGTCACTTACTACGACATTTGAGTAGAAAACAAAATTGATTGGAACTACCTGCACGTTCATTCAAAAAGGGGGCACGTACGCGGTTAACATTTTTTTTTTTTTACCAACTTGACAGCAAAGCAAAACAAGTGCGGAGGCAGCCGAAGGAAAGAAGGGGCAGTCAAGATGGATCGATGTGGTCGGTGGTTGAAGGAGGGGTTCAAAGCAACGTCAGCGGCAGTAGCAGTGAGCGCAGTGGCGGGCGGGTGGGCGGGCGGTGGCGGGGGGGGAGTTGGCAGCATTACACCGTTACCTTTGGGGCTTGGGAGCGCTGGTCCTCAAGCGACATACACTGACGCTGCCAGCCCGCTCCAGCGACTGACACCTCCTGGAGAGACCCGTCATCACGTGGAAAAATAATGAGATGTGGATGAGAGTAAGGAAACAGGAGGAAAGGAAGGAAGGAAGGATATAAGAGGATCAGGAGATCGGACGGTGACGGTTGGAAGGCCGGGGATGTTGTTGCCAGCCTCAAAGTCGATGCTCAACTGGGATTGCAGGAAGCATGGGGGCAGCGATGTTCTAAATGCGCGTGGTGTCACTGGAATTACCGCGCGATTCCCCATCTCCGGAATAGCAGCAGCGTATGATAATTTGCTAATACACCAATGTACGTTGAAATTTTTTCGTACCGTATGTAGCCACCCTTGCTAATCGGAGGTGTGGGGGGAAGGACAACAAACTAAACACAAAAAGCAGTTCTAAAGAAATTAGTTTCCAATCTGGATTTAAAACTGCATAGCTCCAGGGACTTCCTAATATTGGAAAGAAGAATGTTCCAGACGGCAGTATAAGCGCATCTTAAAGTGTGCGATGCGGTGACCGTGTTTGTTCGATGGCAAGCGATGATGACCAGAGTTCATGTGATGGTTTATGGTCCTTGACGAGATCAGCAAAGTATTGTGGTTCATTCGTGGCAAGCACTTTGTGTGGAATGAGTGCGACCTTTATCACGTATTTGTTCGGCAACCAGAAGCCAATGCAGCTCAGCGAGCACTGGACGAACATGGTTGGAGCTTGCCGTTCTTAGTGCCTCTATTGTGACTGGAATAACCACAAGAATTCCACGCGATTCCCCATCTCCGGAATAACAGCACCGTCTGACAATTTGCGCATGCATGTGTTGTGCAATGCTTGCTTGCCTTCAAAAGCAACTCAACAAGAAGCAGAAGACACAATAAACCCTTATGTAAAACTATTGTCCTTTTTTGCTGGAATGCCTTTTTAAAAAGTTGAATCAGATTTATCGGATAATTTAAAAGAACGCCCTGTAGGCAAAATCACGTGGGTGATGGAATCCTTTCAGTATTGCATTCTGCAATCTATTAGCATGATATAAAAACGAACATGTAGTCTAAGCCAGTAATGCATTTTGCTAATTGTATTGGCCATGAATAACATATGTTTTAAGTTATCTACAAGCATTTTGTCGGAAACACTGAATCCAGTATTATTTGTTCATTTAAAAAAATACAAGTATCTCTTTCAAATATTGTCAACCATAAAAGCAAATATTGCTTTAGGTAAAGGTGGCTTGGTAAACATACAAAGGCTATTATTTATGTTTAAGGAATTTAGGGATGTAGGCTCTGATGCTGGCAATGCAACTGTGCCCCTAATATGGTTAGTTACCTTATATTCTATATACTGTACACTGCAACATATTTGCCCCGGACAATATTTTCGAATATACAGGTTAGGCCCTCTGTGATTTCCCATTTAGCAAAAAAACGCATACTTGTTAAAGCCCATATATAGCCCTCGGGGTTACTATCGATGGCAATTATTTGACGTGACCTCAAAGTAAACCACTGTAGTCTGTGCTCCTTCAATACATGAGGAGAAATAAACTACACAAACACCTCTCATGAAGCCCTCTCGCGGCTAGCAGACCACATCTAGCTCCTAAACACATTGCTAAACGCAACATTTTTTATTTTAAAATTACAACTTCGGTAAACGTGAACGTATTTTGAAGTTAATCGCCAAGATGTACCGTTATAACTATCAAATAACAACGAACACGATCAATTATTGGGCCCACAAATTATCTCTGGAAAATGTAATGAGTAATCGTTCATAAACGCAAACCGACTCTATTATGAAAATGTGTGTGCACATTCTCCACCTAGTGGTAAGGACCTGTAAAAGAGAATTATACCGCTGCAATGTTCGCAATTTTTGTTACTAAACTTATAAGCCCTCAATTACTCACTCTCAAAAGTGTTGTTTATTCACTGAATACACCTTCAACGATCTGTGTGTGCAACCCTATTGAAATAAAACTCGCAGGCGTTAAAGTCAGGCTCACTGCATACACCTTCAACGATCTGTGTGCAACTCTATCAAAACACCTTACTTTGACAACTATCAATTTTATTTACAGTACACGTGTTTGTTGAAATGCAAATTGACACGCTCAACATTAGTAGCACAATTAGGTTTCAGTTGAGTGATCAGCATTCAATAGATAAACATTGTATTATATATGTGACACATTTCTTTTTTTACCTGATTTTGTTCGAGAGTAGCATTGTTTTAAATTCACGCACACATCTCTCCAGAGCTCCCACAGGTGTATCTCCCAGCCATGCAATAAGACATTTTCATTTTAAAATCACATCAATTGTCTCATCAATATGAATAATAAGAGTCTTACATGACCCTCCATATGGTAGTAGCAATTCAGATGCATTACTCTACTCTCCAGATTATAAGACATACTTCACCCCCCTCTGTATTTTAAAGCCAAAGTTCGGAGTGCGTCTCATAATCCGCCAGCTGTGGATAAGTAACCAAGATTTGCATGTGTTTGTACTGACACCAGGCGTAAGCTTAGGGTACATCTTACTTCCAGTGCAGAGAATGCAGCAATATTCGTTGCGTTTTATCTTGTCAGTTCATTTTATTGACAAGCTGTTTGGGCAGGAGCCCGTCAGCAAATGGGGTTTTAAAATAAATTACATTAAACAGTGGCAACAAACTGCGTAACTGCAGTTGGCTCATCGTGAAAGCCAAACGCGGTATTTGTATACGGCCATCATCAATTAGGTCAGTCAATTAGGAGTTCATGCTTTTAGTAGCAATATTATACTGCATTCGTCTGCAATATTTATAAGTAGCACGAGACCCCCCCCCCCACCCCCTGCGCGCCCCCCCCCCTCCCCGCAAAAAAATCAAAGAGTGACATCTGCACGCTGCAGCAATTGTGCTAAATCTTCCCCAAAGCCATGCATCGCTGAATAGCGCCACTGTGCCGAGTGAATGAGCACTCTACCTGGGACTGCCACCCGTTCCCATTTTAATGAAAGTCGTCTTGTCGCTTGCTACTTTGCTGTTTGGTGCCCATGTGATCTGCTGTGCAGCATTAAACTGCAGGATGCTTATTCGGCACATCAAGATCCACATTTTCTAGTTCGTGAAACGGTGCTTTGAATCGCACGCGCAAAATGTAACGTGTTTTTGTTCGCTTGTGTTTTAATGGGCTCATTTGAATCCCCTCTGGCCACCTAGAGGCTGCGACATTAATAGCATAACAGAAATACTGAATCAAATTATGACCCCCAAAGTTCATACAATTATTTGGCCAGTATGAGGGGTGGGTTATTAGACCCCTGCTGAATATATATAACGTCGTGTCTCACAATGAATGATTGTGTGACACGCTGACTCCACAAACTCACGTGGGTCATCAATTACCTTCACGTGGCAGGGAAGTTGCCCCCCCCCCAACATTCGGTTGGGCGGTCGTGGCAGGGTTAGCTGAGGCTTGAGGAAGCCACGTGCATTTTTGACTGACAAGTGATGAGTTTCATTAAATATAGGAACAAGTGGCAGTCCAAGTGCCAATGGTTGTTGATGTCCAGAATTACCTGATTGGAGAATGGAATACGTATCCCTTTGGGAAAAGACTATTTGGCCTCGGCCTCCCCTTCCCCGTTCTTACAGGGCGAATGTGAGCACAACAAGAAGATCCACCATGGAAGACACACGCGCACACACACACACACACGGGACACAAGTCAAACACACGCGCGCACACATGAAGCTGACAGGAACTATGTAAACATGAGCATCATGGGACTCAAGGTCAAAGAGGGTGGTTAAGTATGGGGCAAAGGTGATACCCGATAGGGGCTTCATATTCCCAATGACAGATGTGGCCATTGGAGTGAAAAGATGGTGATGCTTAACCACAGTGCTCTGTTCAAGTCAGGCTAAAGCTGCTTACCTTTCAGAATATTTAATTTCACCAGCTCAAAACCAATTGATAATGTATTATCCCTTATTAAATGCATAGATGATTGATTAATGCGATATAGGCAATATAAATAGCCATCTGTATGTCGCAATGAATCATGTGCAGGTAATACGCATTTACAAGGAGGAATTAAATTTTAATGAAGAACCCTAAGTTCTCATTAATATATCATATATCATGACTTTACTGTACAAAAGGGTAAATATAGACATTATGGAGTATTTGTCTAATGTTCAGCTGATGGCCCTTCACAATCCCTGCTGGTTCACTTAAACGTTACCTGGACTCCTCCATTTTGAAAATGGCATCATTGCTTGACTTGGGTCTGGGCAGAGTGAGGAAGCAAGCTCTGTGGAAGGATGGATGTGGAAGGCAGGGAGAGGGTGGAAATGGTCCATAGGAGGGAAAATCACACGAGGAATGAGATACAAGAACAGTATGTGTGGACAATGACAAGCCTTGCTTGGAAAAATGGAGGACGCATCCACACACTGTACACTGTAAAAAAAACCCAACCAGGCACACCTTGAAGGATGATGTTCAAGAAACACCGCGCAACTTTTCCATTCATTGGCCAGTTACGTAAACTTCCCCTCAGTTCACGCGGATTTGCGTGGCAAACTTCGGGAAAAGATCACTCAAGATATGTTACGCATGCATACATACGTTGGATTGCAAGCTCTTCTTGGAATGGCATGTGCATTACAGAGTATTCGATTTTTTTTTAGCAGGGGGTATTTTCAGCTTGGAAGCGCGAATACTGTTTATATACCCATGATGTGCTGGTGCTGATAATAATGAAAAAAAACTGCACTGAACGACTCGCGGCTGACTGGAGATGCTTCACTTTTATTGGTGGTCGTGAATTTCGATTTGCCCTCCGCAGGGAGTCTGAAAGCGTTCCCCGGCCCCCCGAGGATGAATGCTCGGGGCAACGTGAAAATGGTGGTCGATGTAATATAACACGGAGCCAAACACAGAGCTCGGCGATCCTGCAGAGAGAGTCAGCATTTGTGCGCAAACACATTTCACCGTACGTAGTATTATAATATACTTGACATCTTCTTCGTTCTTTCGGTAAAGCCACGTAGAAGGGCAACAATAAAAAAATATATAACACAATAAAATTCTCACGACGTTTCGACTGCAACACAAGCAATCATCATCATGATTGTGTTGCGGTTGAAACGTCGTGAGAATTTTGTTTTATGTATTTTTTTATTGTTTCCCTTCCACGTGACTTTACCGAAAGAACCAAGAACATGAATCCCTGCAGTCACGAAAGCTTTAAATAAAAATTTAAAAGGAGATATGTTTTAAAACAGATTTGGTATGCACCAGTAGCGTAACTAGCGTGGGGGCAGGGGGTACCCCCCCCCCTCCACCCCCCATGGTGGCTACGAGTTGGGGCCCCTTTGACAACCAGCACCTCATGGTGCTTGTCAAAGGGGCCTCAACTCGTAGCTTTGGCGGGGGGGATGGGAGGGTCAAGGGATTCCATCTGCTCCCACGCTCGTCACGCAACTGGTACATCACCACGTTGTTTGGTTGATGCTGCGTTGGCAGTGGTGCACAAGCACAACGAACAAAAACTCAACACATCCGATCCGTCAGTAACACTGCCTTAAAAGGAAACACAATAATCGGTAACGGTGCAGGCAACGGTGTTTCTTCATAACAGTAAAGAGAAGTTCCATTGCCCGAAAAGTAGCCTATTACTGTAAATATGTTTACGTTCAAGGCAGTGTTATTGTCAAATGTGTTGAGTTTTTTTTGTTAATTACTACCAAGGATGCTCAAAACATTGTATGCGTGTCGGACCTATTTCACGCCGTACGTAGCCAACCGCGCTAATCGGAGGTGCGGGGGGAAGGGAAATCGGAGGTGCCGTTCCAGAAGCACTTGCAATCATTGCAAGAATGAGACAACATGTGAGAAAGCAACGCCAACTTAACACCGATCTATCAACGTGTACCGTCTCGTACAGAAACTGATTTCAGTGCAGTGGAATCATGCAATCACAATCGGAGGTGGCAGAAGGAAAACTTTCTGCCTGCGGCAGGAAGTGGGTGAGAGGAACGCGTTTGAGAGGAAAGGGCTGAGAGATGACCTCGCCCTTTCGTCTGAACAGGGCCGTAATGCCTTTTCAGCCGCAAAACTGACTGCTGACGGTATGCCCCCGTCGTCTGCAGGCTTGACGCTTAATTCAAAACATTCTGGGGTGGAGGTGGGGTGCTTAACTTGGTAAAAGTATAGACCCCCCTCTCCCTCCACCGCTGTAGATGATATGAATGTAGATGACATTAATGTACATTAATGTTAGGGGTTACTGTCATGAACACTATAAACTACAATGAGTTTGAGATCACACCCGCTGTGTGTGTGCTCGTATAAATAATGCACAGCCTTTGTTTTTCATTAATCACCGTTGCTACAAATATATGGGGTTGCGGCTACAAAGCTTCCAAAAGCGGTATAAACGGTCACATAAAACGAGTTAAAGAGCACAATGCCCATAAGGGCCATTGCGATTCTCTAAGTCAATCACACACAGCCGCAGGGAACAGCCTCACGGGCGCTCACACACTTCATGTAGCCAAAATCATCGTGACAAAAACATTCCCATTGGTAAGGGAGGTGTCACGGGTGTTCAACGGTGTCACCCTCGCGGCAAAATGATGGCGCTAGTGTATTGCATTGTGCAACCAGGCACGTGTTGAGCTTTCGAGCGAAATTAATTCAAAGGGTCGTGTGCGGTACGTACAGCCAGGTGGCACTGTGGTCAGCAGAGCACACAGCTTGCAAGGCTGCAAGTTGAAATCCGGGTCGGGGGGGGTCGACTCAGCCATTCATCACTCTGGGGGTTGATACAATAGGTGCTACTCTGCGGGGAACCAAACGACGTTTGGACTTTGGGATAAGCCGATCTGGCATGGGGAGAGTCACCCCATAGGACAACCGATGTGCTTTCAGTACAATGAGATCCGTACCATTGCATCGACCCACTTGATCGTGTAAAAAGTTCCTCTAACCACACAACCAACCCTCGTATTTACCATATATACAGGAATGCTCCTCTCATCCCCTGTAATGTGGGGGGCTAATATCATGGTTCTTATTATCCGTGGTAAAAATTTGCAACATTTTACCACGGATAACAAGAGGGAATTTTTTTTTTTTAGTTTACTGGAAGCTGTTTCCACAATCAAGTCCATGACTTTTTTGCAGATGACGGTGTAACATTGGAGGAATAGGGCCGTTGAAAATGGGCTTTCTCACAGACCACACTGTGCCTCTGGATAATAGGACTCGTGGATAATATGGTCACGGATAAGAGAGAGATCTCATGAGCAATATTTAGTTGGATCATGTTACATTGAACAATTCGTATAGGTAAATACCTAAGCTGCCCATAGCATCAGATATCTAAATAGCCTGGTGAGTGGTACGTTTTTTAGTTAATACATTTATTTCAATGCTGCAACTCACTGCAATGTGTTGTGGGGCTATACCAAAGCATTAAATGTAACTTGAATTATATTAAATACCTTGCAAGAGCACCTGCAATAGCAGGTTACTGTGAATGAGCAAGCTAGCTTCATTTTTTGTTTTCAAAAGTAATAGCTGTCCACAATGACTAATTCAGATATTATTATTGTTGTTATTAAAATACCTCACTGAGTCTCAAGATTATTCTTCAGGAGGATATTGCTAAGTTTCTGTGTTCAATGCCATGATGTTGCTGCTGTGTGTAATATTAATTGAGTAATTATCAGGTACATTTTCAGCATTGGGATGTTTTGACCAGAACATAGCTCTTTAGCTATGGGAGGAAACAGGAGAATCCAGAGAAAACCCATGCGGATCAGGGGAGATCATACAAACTCCACACAGAAGCATGCCTGAGTCAAGAATTAAACCCAGGTTCTACTTGTTGTTAGGCACGAGTATTACCACTGCACCACCCTGTCACAATTACTTGTATTATTCTTTTACATAATCAGTTGCCCTAAAGGACTGGAAATTATTGGCCAGAAATGTATGAGCAATGTAATAATTAATCACAAAACTGGCTTTCAATTAAAACAAAGCCTAAGTGATGTCTTGCTCAAATGAGCATGAGGCAATGCTCATCATGTTAAGAGCCCTGAGCCAGTGGTGAAAATTCTAAATTTGATTGTCAGGAGTGAGTCTATCCAAGGCCGTAATTATAATATATATTGGGACACACACCACCCCCCCCCCCCCAATATTCAAATATTCTCAAAATGTCCCCCCCAATATATTGCTAAAAAAAATTGCTATGCTATGTAAATAAAAACAACAATTTGCTAAGCCTTGGCCACAATATCTGGCCTTCATGTAGATTTATGTTTATATGATTGTGGTTATGGTTGTACTTTATTAATCCTTAATCTCTACCATTACATACAATGAAACAAGAAATGGTAAAAAAAAGTAAAAACAGAGCAATGTAATACAATACACTATTAGACATTATTGTAAAAAAATAAAAAATAAAGTCCATCCCATGTGTTAGTGAATTTTTAAAATATTTTAGGCAGGAAATAAGTTTTAAAATTTAGATATTTCTCTGGGTTGAGACCCCCAGACACCCTGGAAGAGTTGGTCCCCCCCAATGTTGACTCCATGGCTACGGCCTTGAGTCTATCCATAGTTGACTTCCCTCCAAAGTGGTAACAATTTCATCGACGCCAGAGAGCATGGTGGACTGAATCAATCCCCAACCAAGGATTGCGAGCTGCCCGCGCAACCACTGAGCTTCCTGGTCGGACGTGTAAAATGGAAAGCGAGTTGCCAACAGCCACAGCGAGGCAAGGCTCACCCATCCATACGTCTGTCTCTCAGGGAAGGAATGGGCAGTGGAGGGTGTAACGGCCCGTCTTCTCAGAGTAACGTCTGAGCAGGCGCATGAGCCACACTGGAATTTCATCTATCGGTCTCTGGATGGACCACCGTGATGCACTTCTCAACAGATGCACCCAGGATCTCTGGGTGGTCATGGGGAACAATTAAAACGCTGCTTGAACCTCATAACACTGGAACGCACGACTGGTTTTTTTTTACAAATGCTGACCCAAGATATATGCAGGGCTTCATATTCTTGGCTCTTTCGGTAAAGTCACGTAGAAGGGAAACATTAAAATAAAATAGTTGTATAACAATAAAATTGTTTTATATTTTTATTATTTTAATGTTTCCCTTCTAAGTGACTTTACCGAAAGAACCAAGAATATGAATCCCTGCAGTCACGAAAGCTTTAAATCAAAATATGCAGGGCTGTTTCACAGGGAAGTGATTCTCACTATTTTCCCAGTTAGGGTTCGGAAAAATTACTCCACTTACGCAAATATTTAGTTTGATTCTCCTTTTCTCATTTTGTTCGTTATGTATATATTAATATAGTCAAAGGTATATATTTAAATATTTGTCCCGGTCTTGAGTGGGATTACAGACAAAGGAGGTATTATTTTTGATTAATTCTACTAATTCAGCAAATTGTCTTTCATTGACTAACTGCAGAGTTATTGAAAATCCTGAAATAGGGATGGTGATACTGATAAAATAAAATAAAAATCTCTGCAAGGTAGTAACCATCAACCCATCAAATCCCCCCCCCCCCCTCAACAAAAATCATTTTCAAGATTGCTCCAGGCTGGATATAGCACGGTATCCAGCCAGCAATACGACGCACGAAACAAATGCCTTAATAACACCACGTTAACTAGAGACGTCGATTTGTCTCTAGCCAACCGATTAGCACGGTTGGCAATGCATGGTGCGAAAGAAGTTCAACATGCATACGCACGTGATCTTTCCGCGTATTGTTTCCTTGGGTAGCTGGGCTTCTCGAGCCGAGAGCCAATGATGCAAGGTAACGTGTTCACGCTAATCCACAAGAGGGCACTTTGCTCTTGGATCGAGCAGTCCAACGAGCGGTGCAGAGATTTTTTTTTTGTGCCGAACTCTCGGTTCGCCTTTCGGCCATAAAATCTGGCGCTTCGGAGCTGTGCTGCTGTAAGAGAGCTGTGACGCAGGGATTCATGCCACCGCCATGGCAATATTTACAAGAGAGAGGCACTTGGGGTCACTGGCTCTGCGCTAAAGCTGCTAGAAACATAGCCACCGTGGTGTTGGAAAGAGGCATAAGGGCATGTGGAAGGTAGACAGTGGAATAGATAATTTGGCTCGAAAGGCTTTTTGTATTGTTGGGCCAGATCTTAAGCTTAAGTTTATAAGATCACGTGTGTTTTGTATGACTTTTACTGTGATTTTTTTTCTTTGGGTGAGAGCTAATGAGATTGCATTGCAAGGAAAAAAACACTTTAATTTGTACGTGTATTCAGATGTGTACGTGCATTATTGTTTTACTGTGGATAACATATCGGCACGTGCACATGCAGACAGGCACACACAAACAGGACGTGTACGTGTACGTATTGGTACACATATAATCAGCGAAGCTGAGATTGCCAACTATCAGGAGCGTGCAAAATGTAGTGGCTTCCTTGAATGGGAGGGAAAGGGTTGGTAAGGCTGGCAATGTGCATCACGGGAGGTCGTGAGGACTGGAATCTGCTCCGGGTTCAGATTCCAATTGCCCCCTTGAACATCACGGCCAGGAATAAAACACGGACTGCTGGGAGCAGAGCACTATGTTTAGAGAGCTATGGCACCACCACTCTCAGTAGCGGACACATTTATAATTGAACATGTTTTTACCCTTTGGAATAATATATTTTATATATATATAATTTAAAATCTTGCCTACAGCCCTTTCGATTGTCCACAAAGTATAAACTATCCGCAGACTGTTAAAAAGACATCGACTACGTGCATCAAGTAACATTCTCCCGAATCCCTAACGCAGCTCAGGTACACTATCAATGACACAATGGATCCTGCATTTGTAGCAACGGTTGGCAGACCATTCCAATGATTTGTTGAGAAACAAATAGCCCACAACGATTATTGGTACGACACTGAGATTATTTCTCGCTTCTCGCCTGAGTGTAATAATCATAGCTTGAGGGTACAAAACTAGCCTGGAAAGTCAGCCATTTCAGTGAGCAGTTAAGTAAATATTTACGATACTTAATTTACTATTTAATATATATGTATTACAAGTACTGAATTCACGAAAAGTTAATTAACCAAATGTCGTAATATAGGCACGGTTTTTTACATTTATATTATGACAACGCATAGCAGACAACGAAATTCTCACCTCACTCGTGCTACAAACCGTGATAAAATGTTTGTTTTATTTTGGCACCGCCATTGTGTGAACCAGTGGCATCCATACACACAAATGCACGTCAAAAACATGCATGCACAACCACACATATACCCACAAGCACACACTCAATATCAAATTCTGATTGAAATGTATATTCCGATTGAGTAAAACAAAATTTGGACAATTTTTAGAAAATTTACCAGTGACACAGCAATGGCCTACTCTTGCGAATGATGTCACGAGACCTCTAACATCCACTGTAAAGCAGACGGCACTTGTTTTTACAGTCGTTACACCCGCATTGTTCACCAAGGCCGCCAATAGATTTGAACCGTGAAACTCTGCAACAACCGGCGAAAGCGCTACGGCTAAATCGTGTGCAACTAGCAGGTCGCATCATTAAAAACCTGTGTCTCTCCAGGGCACGTGAAGACATACAGTACCTCACAACAAAGTACAAATATTATTCTGAATAAACCGAGTAGAGGTTATAGCAGATACCTGCTGACATTGGCTTGATATCAAACCTATGCTCGGATCTCTTTGACTGTTGCATGCTCTTTGAGGAGCTACATTTAGTGCTTCACAAATACCTTAATTACCAAGAACATGCAATGTTTTCACAGCCTCTCCAAATTTAATGGAAATTACCATAGAGTTCATGATGGAAAATATGTTTGGAAGATACCAGGAGAACCCACACTTCAGAATCAGAATCTTCATTTAGACTGGAGGAATCCGATGAGCTATAAAGCTCTTTTTCACAGATATCCACTTCACCCCACCACACCACGTAGTTCTCCAACTACAAGCCAATTTACACAAATCCACGTGAAATTGGCCCACGGATTACGGAAGACGCAGATAACACACGCACGTATATATTTCACAATATCACACAGCCGCGAGATGCATCAGAAGGTAGGAACCTCCAGCAAGATATGCAGACGGGTGAAATACCTAAACACTTCACGGAACAATTTGAATAGAGGCTATTGCAGATGAAGAAACGTATTCAAAGCTTCAACCACCTTGACAGGTACTCACATTCGTCGAGTATGGACTTCATTTTAATTGTATTAGCCCAATATTACACGTAAGACGGCGCAGAATAAAAATATATAAACACAAGATAACAAATTGGATTTTTCTATGGAACGCAAAATATTAAGCCCACGGGATTCCGCTGAGTACCAACCTCTGACTTGAGTCTTACCTCTCACGGTCACGTGGGCATGGGGCCTCCACAGTTCTCCCTCTCTCCCTGCCCTGCCGCTCCTCGTGCCGTGACGGAGACCGAGACCTCCTGTTGTTGTTGTGAGAAACCTGGTCCAAGCTCCTGGAATGAGAGCCGCGGTCGCGGCTTTCAAAATGAATGGTTCAGAAGTTGAGCAGGTTCCTTGCGGGTGGTTATTTACATTTTATTTTGGTCTGGCATATCCATACGATCTGCATGTGTCTCTGAATTAACTGGACACATGTACAGTACCCAACGCACTGACACTTATACTCCCGAGTATCGTTCTAAAGTGGTACGTGCCGGTTGTTACCATGATTGGAGCATGTGGCTCGCAATTACAAGGGTGCAAATCTCGATTTGGAGTGAACTCAACTTTTTTTTTCTTCAAGGCTCGACAAAATCAGTTCCACTTTCAGGGGAAGTAAATAGCGGTCATCCTAAAGCGGAGCTGGGTCCCTGCGGTGAGAATGAGGGATTTTGACAGGTTCATCCACTTCTGCGGGGAGAAAGTAACTTTTTTGACAAAGCTCAAAACCGAACACATTTGCATTTCTAAAACATAAAAAAGTCACCAACTCCTGTTTTTCTTATTCCTAAAAAAAAAAACCGGAGATCACCAGGTGATGCCTGTCTCTTTTCTGCTAACAGCTTGGCAAGCATCGCTCCTCGCGCTTTTGACAGCAGCTGCTCTCAAATGGGTGACGTTCCGCTACTCATTAAGGCACTTACCCTCAGCGGAGGTAGACAGAAGGGTTCTTTTGTTTACGCCTTATATATTTTTTTTTCAAAAGGCAAAACAAAAACCTAGAGCCAGCCCCGATGACCTTTTCAGCAGAGATCTCCATGGCAAGGCTTGGTTCTCGAGACAACTGGCCATGTCTGAATTCTTAAAAGACCAACCGTGTCGAGTGACTGACTTCAAAACACTGCATGGTCCACTGGTTTGTGAAACTTCCCAACTCCATTATAAGTTTTTCAAGTCCGTGTCGATGGGATGAAGCACATCTCAAAGGCAGTGCTGAAACATTTCGTATTTAATTGTTGGCTGTGAGTTGTAGGTCACCACCATGACTCAAAAGCCAAGTCCAACAATGTCCAGGCTTAAATCGTCCACGCCATGTTGCTCAACTCTATTGGCAGCCCTGAGCCAGTGGTTCAAAAACATTCGGCATTCCCTATGACGAGAACAAGTCCAACCATAAGATGACCCACAGTTGACTTCCCACAAAGTGGCAGTAACAAAAAAAAACTCTACAACCACAACGTATTTCTTGCCGTAATTGTGAACATTTAAAAAAACAAAACAAGCCATAGGAGAAGCAACTTGGACATTTCGAATGAAGCAACGCGGTAAAGCGTTGTTGACGAGGGTAGGATGGCAGATAAGCCAGAGCAACTACGGGAAAGACTTAGAGCCAGATGATAATGATGATGATGATACTGAGAGCTGACATTGATATCGCCTGCGGAAATCTGGGAGAAGGAAGCGAGAAATGCCAAGCTGCGGTGGCATCCACTGCATTGGCCACGAGACGGCTTCTCTGTGTGTTGACCGTTAAGAGTTTTTTTTTTTAAAGGCGCAGGTGCAGCCCTGCGATTTAGTGCTCACGTCACTGGTGGCGGAAAGGCCTCCACTAGAGGGAGCTGTAGTGAGCGGCTCTATAGAGGACACTGGACCTACTCTTCCGAGCAGGCCAGACATCTTGGGAGAGGTAGGAGAACCCACCACATGTGGACATGCCGGTTGACTGTGGTTGTATCTATCTACAAATGTCGGTTGAATGGAGGCAGCGGGGGTGGGGGGGGGGGGGGTTTAGCTGCTGCTGTGCCTGGGAGATGTAACCTCAGGATTTGCGTGTGCGAACCACTTCCCCACGGCACGACCCCCCCCCCCCCACCAAGAGGACAGCTGGTACCACGGTAGCCTTGTGAGCTCCTCAGAGCTGAGGTGGATGGCACTGTCAAGCATGCGGATGCTTGTTCATATATCAATTACGCCACGCATCAAAGTGTTTTGGTCACCTCTTGAAATGCATTCTCGCGCACCTGACCCGGTGCTCGCACGCTGAATGTGCGCGGAGAAAAATCTTAGAATTTCAACTTGTTAACGGCGCCACCACGCAGCGTTCCCCCAACTCCTGAAGAGAGAGATCGACCCGGAGGATCAACGGGGGACCGCAGACGAGCGGGAAGGCAGCCACGCGGTCAGCCGGCACCAACAATCGGCCAAGCTCTGTGGTCCTTTGAAATGTCCAGGTGTTATTGGCCGATTAATGAGTGTTTACATGTGGGAAGAAACTGGAGCAAACCCCACACGTTCAGGTGAAGGGGAGGGGGGGGTGAAACACTTTAAGCGATACCGGCGTAGCAGGAGTGCCACGGTGGCGAGATGTAAACTGCCTCGCCTGGTGTCCAGGAGGTTGTGAGCTCGATGCCGATCCTAATGCCTGTATATTTGGAGTTTGCATGTTCTCCCCGTGGTCGCGTGGATTTTTCTCCGAGTTCCCCGGTTTTTCCCTCCACATTTAAAATCAACATGCGTTTAGAGTATTTACCTGCCATAAATTCCCACGTGACAAGCCACTTTGCTGAGCTATCATTTGTGGCCCGGTCGCTTCTGAAAAAAGAGCAATGCAGCTCAGTGGGCCTTACCTGGGTAAAATAAAAAAAATGGTAGTTTTAACAGTTGTATTTCAAATCTTTGTTGTGTACTGCCTTCTCCTGGTGAGCCAGGGTATGGCACCTCCTCACCGCGCACAGGAAGGGAGTTGAGCAGCAACATCCACGCCGTCTGATTAACAGTGAACGTTCGGGATCCCGTGACATCATTCGCAAGAGTATCCCAGTGCACCATTGGAAACCTCATTTGCCAGTCACAAAATATGACAATTGTTTTTTTTTCAGTATCCCAGTGGCCTGAGCACCATTCACCGACCACGGCTAACATCAGTGGAAGGCGACATCTGAACCGGTCCTGTGGTTCTACATCACGACTAATTATTAATCCTCGCTAACGCGGATAAATATTGAGCTTCATTTCATGAACTATTGAGCAGGTTAAGGCAACGACAACACATTTAACCGACCAAGAAGCTCGGCGGTAGAGTGAGCGACTCTCAGTTGCAACGTTCCGAGTTCAAACCCCCGGGTTTGTGGTCGATAAAATAGGTACCGCATTGCGGAGAAGTCAGTCAATGGTTCGCCCTATGGATAGACTTGCACCCTCCACAACACAAAGGAATTTCTACCACTGGCTGAGAGCTGTAAAAGAGGAGATGAGCACTGGCGGATGTTCGAGATCCGTCCTTGAGTTTGAGACAGTTTTTCAACAAGCTTAAAACAGCGCAGTGTTCTTCCAAAGAGCGTTATCTGCGTGATCGGTGCTCATTCGTGATGGACCGGGCTCACAAGAGTGCAAAAGAACAAGCGTTCAGACTTACTTGCTCGCCTCAATCAATCACCAAGCAGGCAATCACTGTGACCGTTTAACATGATCAAGATCACTACGATAATTCCTTTTTAATTCAGATAATGCAGGGCTTATAGTTATGGGCGAGGGTTGGGGGTGAGAGTTGGGGGTGAGGGTTTAGGATCGGAGGTGAGGGTTGGGGGTGAGGATTGATGGAGAGGGTTGGGGTTAGGGTTGGCAGTTAGGGTTGGCGGTGAGGGTGAGGATCGGCGGTGAGTGCGGTGAGAGCGAGGGCCGGCGGGTGGGTGCGTTGGACGCACCTCTGCTGCACGGCGGGTGACCGGGAGCGCGTGCGGCCATTCCCTTCAGCGCGGTGCGGCGACGCGGAGCGCGAGCGGTGCCGCGGGGCCGTGCTCGGCTGCTCGGGCACGGCCAGCGTGGTGGGGCCGCCGTCCTTCCCTCCGCAGCGGTAATCTGAACGACGACCGCCAATCCCACACACACCCCCCCCCCAACCCCCGAGCGACAATAACGGCCAACGTTAGCAGTTGCGTTCCGTTCGCACACACCGCGGCAATAACTTTCGGCGATGGGTAAACGTGTCGGTGATTGTCTATGAACCCTTTTGCCATTCCGATGACGTGCGTTTACGTCATCAGTTTTTCTTCCGATTCAGTTCCGATGACGTTCGTGCACATTATCAAAACGAAACGGGAAGAAAAACTGAAACAGGGGGAGGGCGTGTGGCACAGTTTGGCGCCAGCTTTCGTAGAGTGCGGTCATGTCGCTAAGGTTATCTGCGGTGATTGCAATGTCTTTAAAAACAACGGCGCTATGCCTCTCTTAATAAAATTAACGCTGCATCGCTTGCGAGTTCCGATGTTCAGCGGTGAATGGGACCCACACCCAGCAACTTGCAGTCATCTCGGAACGGGAAAGGGCTAATGTTGACAGATGAATTGGTGACAGCCAATTTCATCGTCACATGTTGCACGCAACTGCATAATGATCGTCATTATTATTATCATCATCATCATTCTATGTGCTTGTAGCACTCATTCACAATCTCTCTTTAAAAATCTACGTGAATTTCAGTCAACATTTTGTATTCTCTTTCGTAAGCTCTGTGATAATTACCAGTCGCTATTTTCTCTAGAATATATAACAAAAAGTCCACTCTTTCAGCAAGATCACAATGTTCATTAATGCGATAATTTGTTTTTGATCATTTCATTTCCACTCATTTCAGCAATAATTTCCACAACTGTACACACAACGCAAGTACTTTATGCAGTAACCTACGAACATTGAAACGTATATTTTTGTTGAAAAATGTAATATACATTTCTAAGGAGACTGAAAACATTCTAAAGTAACGATCTTTTAATTGAGAATAATTGAAAAATCCCATCAACACATTATCATCAGGTTGTAAGTTCCCTTTAAGAAATTGATCAATTATTTAAATTTGCAGTGAAGTTCATGTTAACCCATTGATTCTTCCCGGACTCATGATCACTTCACTGCAACAAGATGTAATTAAAACTACCGATTTCAGTTTTTTGGCGAAAATTCACGTATCACAAATTTCTGTCAACCTCCTTAAAAATGCAATCGTGGTGGCATGCACTGACAAAAAAAAAGCACATGCAGGTCGACATGCGCGTGACACAGCAAGCAGAAGCGAAAGCAAATGTGTGCAGGGCACGAGCTCACACGGGGGAAAGACACAGGGGGTGCACGCTTCATACCTGTCGATATAACTCCAATGGCATCATCATAATCATAGTCTGAAATTTCACTATCACTAACGCGCTGGGATCCTGAACGGCGGTAAATGTAAACAGAACCACAGATTACTTATGCTGGCTGGCAGAACCACACGTCACTTAATGCTGGCTGACAGAACAAAACATTAATCGTTGTTGCTAATTATGAGTGTCGTTAAATATGTAAACGATCAGAGCAGACTGACATGGCTAAGGTTCATTTGTTTGATAAAAACGCGCATTTTTTTAAAATATTATTTTTTACATCGTTTATAGATGAAGAAAAATGGATGATTGGTAACTTGAATCAAAATGTTGGCATGAAATTTGTGAGTGAATTATTATAGTTTGTCTAGATGCATTTATTGTAAAATTCAGGCCATGTATTACTACGTGGCACACATCTAGAACGGTAATGCAGAACATCTGTTCGATGTTAACTTACGAATGTGAAATCACATTACTTGAATGCCAAAAAAGATACAAATGCCTCGTAATTGTATTTAATCACCCAATTGAATCCACGTATATATCCAAATCGATCATTGCCGAATCATACAATGGCCTTCCGGCTATCATCGATAATCACCAAATGTTGACCGTGCTATTTCAATGATAACTTTCACAGAATTGTAATCTTGGTGACGATCATCACCGTCCTCCATTATCATCATCGTCGTTGTCAACACCATTAAATGCACAAGCACAATGACTACGAGTGTAACACGTTAATGTCTTAAAATAAAACACAAACAAAACACCGAATAGAAACACAACGTCGAGTGGAAAGTCACGGAACAAATACAGCTGGATACAAATGACCAAACCAATAATCACCACCACACGTACAGATGCGGTATGTTCGCACAAATATACGGGGAAGTTGAGCGTTTTAAAAATTGTGCACATGCTGAGGAAGAACCTCCATGACAACTGTAAATTACTTTTTTCAAAATTGACTTTAGTTCAGTACAAAAAAAAACAACCACTGTCTTGATTTCTATTATGGGAAATATCTTTTCAACCAGAGCTTGGGCATAATGTGTGGAGTTTGTCGTCCATTGTTCTAATTGCCATGATGCTGCTGTTTAGTTTATAACCGCATATTAAAAAAAAAACTAATGTGTCAGGATGTCTACGTGTTTTGAGAAATTAAACTACGATACTCGTTCACACAATACTGCTGGGACTCAGATACTCTGTGCTTGGTGCTCAATGCAGAGATTCTCAATCCGTGGATCATGCCACCCTAGAGGAGGCATTGAAGCCTTTCGGGTTAGGGTGGGGGGGTGCAGGCTACAGCATGGATACCGTGCAGGAGAAATTGCTAATGAAGGGCTCAGTAGCCTCCGGTACGCTGATGGTGTGTCATTACACTACATCTTGCAGTCGATCAGTATTGAGATACATTGGGAATTTATCAGGGGGGGGGGGGGGGGGGGCATGCACGCCAAAACGTGTAGTTCTGGCTGCAGCCAGTGCTGCTATTGTATGCAATGTAAGTTTTAGAATATCAATTAATGCCAGCAGGAGAGATCACCGTTTAAGTATTAACCGAGGATGGCTTTTGGTTCGTAGCAAAAAAAACTGCCACCAGGTAATAGCGTCCACGGAGATGCCACCTTCCAAATGTTAACAGCTGTCATTCCAGTGTGACGGTATTTTCTTGAGGTGAGGACAGTGGACATCAATGGGACGTTCAACAACAACTGGACCAGAAGAGCAACAGCGGTGCTTGGGTCAGACTCATCGCCAGGAGGAATGACCAGTGGTCAAGACTAATAGTGGAGGGGGGGAGGTCTAAAAAGGGAGAACGCCCGCGAGTTTTGATAAGCGACTCGCGTAAGCGATATTTAAGTGGCATGAGTGGGACTGGGGTGGAGCCAATGGTCTCAATTAGGGGGGTTGGGGGGGGGCGAGGAGCACCATACCAAGCTTTAATATGACTGCCTTAATGGCACAAAGGCCGCTTAATACGCTTTTCTGCAGCATGCATTTTTAGTTCACAGTTATGTAACTTACCTTGAGTTGGTGTATTTTTGTGTTATTAATCAGAGTTTGGGAGAAATGCACACATTCGGGTTATGTTTTATTTTTTGTTTAATATTTAGGCTCCCGAATTTTGCTTTAATTTATGATATAATCATGAGTCTCAGCTTCAGACACAGAGGGAGTGAAACCACAATTAAGCGTTTGCAATTTATCAATATTTAGATGTGCGTTAATTACAGCAAATCACACCATATTTATGGATTTATTTAACTGTTTATTCAATCACTTTGCTTGGCAGATACATTCAGGAATGTTCAGCAGCGCCACGATGAGAATAACATTTTAAATATCACCTCAGTTAAAGGGAACAGGCGTCTGTCCACGTTGAAAATTGTGCAACTCACTCAGTATAGATCTGCCTAGAGCGACGATGCTACGTTTCAAAGACGCACGCACACGCACAACACAGGCACTCACGGACACCTTCATATAGCAACATGCAAACAAACAGTGGGGTTAACGGTGAGGGACATTGGAAGGAGCAAACCACTTCACATAGTCATAGAGGAGAAAGCATACTCCACCACACAAAGAAAACACCAAATGCAGTCAAATAGGAAAGATCCTATATAACCCTGGAGAAAATATCAATACAGTACGTAGTTACTGTATATATGAAATAACAATACAGTATAAGGGGAGAAAAAAAAAAGCCATACACAGTCATAGACGGCATATCCATGTACAATCATATAGAGACAAGCGATATATAATCACGTGAAGATTTACAAGATACAATAGCATAGGGAGCAATCGCGTGTGGCACTAGGATATAATGGGATATTAATAAGCAAAGCTCTATGGCACAAATCATACACCGCAGTATAGGTATATCAATAACATCTACCACAATACTGAAAAGATGTAATCATATTCAATATATCAGTAAAATAATCAACAACCATGAAAACAGTGTAGTGTGCATGGACAACGTAAGCGCTGTTGGCACTTGAGAAAGTGATAGTGGGGACGTTAACTAGGCAATTCTAACCTGCACGGCAAGAGCTCGTCTGCTGCACCACGGACGTGGAATCGAATGTCGCGGTGTCGTACATTGCCAACACGAGCACAAAAAAAGCACTGTTGCTAAGATTGATCCTATTTCAATTGGCTTTACGCACACTCCGAAGATGTTTGCTTTGATTCTGTGTTTGACATTGATGGCCATTTGCCATGAACCTCTCGTAACGCTGTGGAGTGGTCACTTTTAAGAGCTACGATTCGGGACTACAGGATTTGCCACTATTCTCGTTGATGTCCCTGCGAGGGTTTAAATGAACGTTTTGCGCGGTTTGCATTGCCGAACGTGCACGGGCCTCCTGACGGTGCAACCATTAGCGACAAAAAAAAAAAGTCAATTTCTTTGGGCGCCAAGGGGCACTTGCGTTAAACGAAGATAAATGTTGACGTCGTATTACACGTTCAGCCTTGCACGTTTGTCTCTTCCAAGCGAACTTGCTCTCCCCCGTCAAACAAGCGGCAAGGCCACTCTCGTCTCGCTGTTAACAGCATTGAGTCGGTGGTGAGAATTCCACGTTTCTATGGCAAGCGGTGGATGGGTGAGAGGGGGAGGAACAACAAGCAGTATCTGCATCCAACAGGCACACTTGGCTCTATGGGACAGCAGTTTCTCCATCCAATGGCCACCACCGTTGGCTCTGTGGCAGTACGCCAGAGTTGAGGAGGCGAGAAGGGCTTGTGGGGGGGGGGGGTGGGGGGCTGTGGGGGGGGGGGGGGAGGAGGGTCCACCGTGCAGGATGCGGGGTGCGGGGGGGGGGGGGGGTGCTCACAGGCGTGTGCGTGCATGCGGTCGCCACGTACTTTGCAGCTTCTTGGCGTTGTCGGCGGACACGTGTTTGCGCGGGAGGTACGGGGAGGGCTGCGGCAGGGGCAGCGAGGAGGCGTCGTGCGACTGCAGCTTGTAGCAGTGCGGCTCGTCGTCCAGCAGCGCCGTCTCCAGCTCGATCAGAATCTGGGTTTCGACCGCGCGTGCGCGGGTGGGAGGGGCGGGGGGGGGGAATCGATAAATAAGTAAATAAAGGATCGCGATAACGTGGCAATCCACCATCGGTCTAACAGGACGTCGGTTAGGGGTGAGCTACGTGGGCCGTGTCGGCCACACGGGTAACGGTTCGCCAACGCCGCCAGTGATTTGATGGGTGGCCACAATTGGGGGGGTCGCGTTTTGATGATTGTTTTTTTTTTAAAGATTCTCTCTCGTCGTTTACTTTTGACCGTCGCGTTTGCATCGTTCTGCGGTTTTTTTCATTTGGTCGCTTGGACATGTGAATGTGACTATAGAATACAAAACAAAACACACACTCGTCGATGACAACTCAGCAAACTCGACACCTCGCAGAGTGACCTTTAACCCTCTGGCTTTCTCCGTGTGCTATGGTAGCATTCACATGTAATTTGCATACAGTTAGCATACGTCTAAATAATGCATGGCTTGAATGCATAAATTCAGTGGATATGTCGCGAGTGTACAACTCAATTTTGCTAAAACGAATCTATGCAGCGTTAAGTGCCTAAAGTGGACACACACACTGAGAAATACACAAGACGCAATTTCAAATGAACACACATGGGCTATCGAACATACACAGACACACAATCCATGTGTTTGTAACGAAACAATCAAGGTATCCACTTGATGTAACAGCCACCTTTGTACCAAAATCATCCGGCCAGTGAATACTGGGGGTAGAGCACTGGCAAAAGGAAGGCTGCATGATCGGGGTTGACGCAGGCTCTCATTATCAAAAATAAGTATTGCTTTATGCTAAGTTATATGTACTTATCCTATGGAATGATTCGTTTTTTTGTCATAGGATTGCTGAATTTTTCGCGACTGGCTCAGAGCTGACATTTCTTGAGAACTGCTTTTTGTGTTTAGCTTGTTGTCCTTCCCCCACACCTCCGATTAGCACGGTTGGTTACGTACGGTGTGAAAGAAGCACAACATGCATGCAATACCGTTCTACAGCTCGTTTGAGAAGTAAAATCCTTTTTTTTATATATATATACTGAGATCACCAATTACAGGACCTCACCGTTAACAGCTGCTAGATGTTGTTATAATCTACTGCGCAGCGGCAATGCGTTATGCAACAGATGGAGCCATCAGTGACACGAGACTAAGGTGCGGCACAGAAAATTGTGCTTAAAAAGAACCGCGTGACTGCCCCGTATAAAGTTTGAGCTTTGTCCCCGCTGTATGTGCGTGTGTGTGTGTGCTTTCTCCAGGCCGTCTGGTTTCTTACCACGCACTCTGGAGGACACGCCAAAAATGCAAAGCGGGATACATGTGAAATTGAGGCTTGGGACACTTGCGGGGCTTTCTTGATCGAGTAAATATACATTTAGATTTTAAAGCTACATTGTTTCCATGCTCAAATTGGTGAAAAGCAGTGATTGTAAAGTTTGGTGGTGGTCCTGAGTCAACTGTGTTAAGCCCACGTTATCAGGATTGGGGCGAGTACATCCATAGGACAACTGTTTAGCTCCCAGAATGATAAAGGCGCAGCCCTGCAACGTCTTGCTTTTGCCACTGCTGGCAGAGGGGGCCTCAAGACAGCCCTTCTACGGGGTATTTGGCATGCTCTATTGATGCTAACCAGACTGCCCAGATGAAGAGGCTGCCAGAACGCGGTCAGTGGATTTGAACTCCACCGCTCGAGTGAGAAAAAGGGCTCTGCGAGGGTAACTGCCACCGGGCCTAGCAGAAGCGGTCGCTCTCCCCGCTGGGAGCGCGGCGGTCGCACCTCGCCCAGAAACTCGCTCTCCTCCTCCAGCACGCGCGGCTGGTCCCACAGCGTGAGCTCCAACATTCGCTCGCGGAACTCGCGCCGATGCACAGGGCAGTAGACGAACGTCTGGCTCCACTTGGGCTCCAGGGTCTTGCGTGCCGTCTTGGTGCGCCGCTTACTCCTGCCCGGGGAGGGGGTTGGGGGGGGTAGCAGAGTCGACAACGTTAAACAGCGACGATCGCCCACCCCCCCCGGATGTATATATAGATATAGGCGCCACTGTGGCAAGATGTTAACTGCCTCGCCTGGTACACAGGAGATCGTGGGTTAAATTCCGACCCTGCCGCCTGTATATTTGGAGTCTGCATTTTTCTCTCCCCATGGTCGCTTGGATTTTTCTCCGGGTCCTCCGGATTTTTTCCCTCCACATTTAGAATCAACATCACGTGTTTAGAGTATTTGGCTGCTATACATTTCCAACATGATAAGCCATTTCGTTGAGCGATCATCTGTAGCCAGGTCACTTCTGCCAAAGAGCTATCTAGCTCAATTAGCCTTACCTGGTCATAAGTAAAAATGTATATCTGTAACGACTCTGTGGAAAAGTTCCATTAATGAGCACTTATTGAGGGCTTGAATGCCCAGGTGGGTCAGAGCGCTGAGGTCAGAGGTCAGAGTGCTGAGCTCTTACCGCCGGTTCGAATCCAGGTGGCCGTTTGTGATCATTAAACTGGGTTCTCAAAGTGGTCACGGGAAAGTGCTGCCCTCTGCTGGGAAGGGATCTCAGAAGTAGCTCTGTGATATCCACTTCAGGAGTCTATTCTCTGAGACAGCGGTTCCCAGCCTGTGGTCCGCGGACACCTGGTGGTCTGCGAGGCTAATACAGGGAGTCCGCGGAAAAGATGAACAAATATAAAAACATCCTCACATGCTCGTAGCACGTGGTGGTCCGTAAAATGTTTGGAGGTTAAAAAGGGGTCCTCACACTCGAAAAGGTTGGGAACTGCTGTTCTGAAACGAAGGGTTGCACTGAGAGAGATCGAAATGAATACTTTGTGTCATGTCTCATGGACTTGATGCCTAGAGCATAATCGGAATAACACTGGGGAAAAAATATAAAAAGCTGCTTTAGAAAAGCCCTCCATGGCACATGAGGGGGTGGCATTGCCAGCGCACCTATCTTCTTTGATTTCACCGCGGCTGATGTTTACACGCCGCATTAGGTACTCGTCTGAGGCTGTGTAAACCTAATGAAAGGCTCAGAACGGATCGACATGACAGTTGCCACTGACTTGATCCGTGAGCTTGTTTCAAATGCAAAATGTGCATTCTACAGTACAAATGAGGCACGAACCACTGGCATGCTGCCTTGCTCCTGAATCCACTCGTGCATTGATGATTTTACTCTGTTACTAAAAGGAGAATACAATCTAAAGATGCATTGCATACTATAATGCTTTCATATCAAAGCAATGTCCAATCAGATGCGCGCCCGTCTGCGCGTAATGCTGCAGAAATACAGGTGGGGTCGTCAGACGTCAGTGATGTCACAAGAGGGCAGTGATGTCACTAGACATGGCAGTGTAACTCAAAGTTGCACTCTCATGAACCGAATTGCTTTCCTCATAAGGAAGCTTCACACCGGTGTCTGACAGCTTGAGAGACGCGTGCCAGGAATGCATCTAAAAACGAACGTGCAGTTCGGTGTTTTAGGGCGTGTTGTCTTTCTTTCACGCAATACAGCTGCAGGTGCTGGGAGCATTTTTCAGGAACTGGATATGTGAACACTGATTCAGTTGACGAAGAGGCACCCGGCACAATGATGCAAAACAACAGGCATTGCGTCAAACAAAACACGTGGTACGGCCCGTAAACACGTCAGAGCGGGTACACATGGACACGTCAGAGAGGCTACACATGGACACGTCAGAGCGGCTACACGTGGACACATCGGAGAGAATACACATGGACACACCGGAGAGGCTACACATGGACACGTCAGAGAGGCTACACATGGACACACCGGAGAGGCTACAGATGGGCACATTGGAGAGGCTACACATGGGCACGTCAGAGAGGCTACACATGGACACACTGGAGAGAATACACATGGACACACCAGAGAGGCTACAAATGGACACGCCAGAGAGGCTACACATGGACACATCAGAGAGGCTACACATGGACACACCGGAGAGGCTACACATGGACACACCGGAGAGGCTACAGATGGGCACATTGGAGAGGCTACACATGGGCACATTGGAGAGGCTACAGATGGGCATATCAGAGCGGCTACACATGGACACGTCAGAGAGGCTACACATGGGCACATTGGAGAGGCTACAGATGGGCATATCAGAGAGGCTACACATGGGCACATTGGAGAGGCTACAGATGGGCATATCAGAGAGGCTACAGATGGGCATATCAGAGCGGCTACACATGGGCACATTGGAGAGGCTACAGATGGGCATATCAGAGAGGCTACACATGGGCACATTGGAGAGGCTACAGATGGGCATATCAGAGAGGCTACAGATGGGCATATCAGAGAGGCTACATCGGAGAGGCTACACAAGTGCCCCAGGTGTACAATGGGGGACCTTGGCTGATATAGAATACCTCCGGTCGGGCAGGAAGTAGATCTTGACGTAGGGGTTCCTTGGTCGGCCGTCCTCGCGGGGTGGAAGTTCGGTGGCGCTGAGCACAGTGACTATGAGCTGGTATCCCACCTTATCATACCACAGCTTGATCTGCACAAGACATTCCGCAGAGAACACAAATGTAGGTGAAAACTTTGTGTGCATTCCAGATTTGGATCCGTGGCTTCACGCTTGCACACCTGCAGCGAAATACATTCACAATGGACTAGGCACTGCCTGTGAAAGTTGATAAGTTGAAGACCTCTGCCAAAAATGTTGCTGCATCATGCATGCGACCCAGGTATTTATTCATTTTACAACACTATTTCCACTCGACGATTAGCAGAGTATAATTGCTTGGTTAAGATTTTTTATTTTTTTTAACCTAGGTCAAATGCCGCACATTTGAGCATTTACAAGGGAAGTTTAAAGTATGGAAAAACACCGTGGGGCAGCGTTTAATTTTGGTCGAGCACGAAATATTTGTTTAAAAATGTATTGTAACCACAGGCGCTTGAATGTTCATTCGTCCGTTCATCTCGTAGAGAGTTTGCAACGTGCACAAATTGAACTTGAACTCAAAGAGGACATTCAGGGGTGGTGCGAGAATCAATTAAAGGGAGAGAAAAGTCGAAAAGTCTACAGATTCCGAATAAAGAGTGGTGCCGACGGCGATGCGCAGTGAAAGACAGAGGAGGAGGAGGAGGGAGTGGATTCCAGGTAACCAGAGGGAGTGGATTCCAGGTAACCAGAGGGAGTGAATTCCAGGTGACCAGAGCTGAGACAGAGAAGCGACACTCGCCTCTTCTGGTTGCAGAGAGCCAAGGGGTTTGATGAGGTGGAGGAGGAGAAGGAGGAGCAGGAGGCCACTTACACTAAACTATTTTTTATTTTACCAGGTAAGGCCCACTGAGCTATAGAGCTCTTTTTCAGAAGCGACCTTGCCACAAATGATAGCGCAACGAAATTTATAGCAGCAGCCAAGTACTCTAAACACTTACAGTACTTGCAGTAGCTGTGCATTGCGTGGCAAAACTTTATTTTATTCTTTTAAAAAAAGCCAAAGATCTGCTGCCTTGGTGAATGCAGTCTCTACCCTAAACCTTTGATTAATGTTTCACAAGACAAAAATATTTAGGACAGTTTAACATGTAGGCTTTCGCGACCAATATTATTCATAATAACGGTTTTTGGGTTAGATCGCGTTTATTTATAAATGTGTCGTAACCCTCCACCACCCGACACGGCCAATCAGCAAATAAGTGTCACGTTGACAAAAGACATAATTCACTCCTTTAGCCCACCGGTGTGTTGAAGAGTGAATCCACAACATTTACAGTTTGAGTACGACGTTTCGCTGGTAAATACATCCAGCATCATCGGGCAATTCGCCAGAATGGTAAAGCCCTCGCTTGCTCCCGGTTTTATATAGAGCATCAGGGTGATGTCATCACTTAACTCATATCAGGTGCAGTGATTAGAGGCGGAGGGGGGGTATTGTAATTATATAATCGATTAGTAATCAGTCATTGGTTATGATTAGTAATGAGTTGTAGATTAGTAATTCTTTAAATTAAAATGTAATGTGTATTATTTAATAATACGCTTCCAGGCCGCACTAAACCTGTAGCTGTCAGAGCGATTAAAGTTATTCTTGTTCCTCTCAATTTCAATGGATTCTCTAATTAGTCTTTGCCAGTAATAATTAGTTTTACACACCACTGCAACATTGTCAAAATCAATTGAGTGTCCTTGTTGACAAGCATGTTCTGCCACTGCCGACAGTTGTGTTTGAGATAATTTAATATTTCTTTGATGTTCTTTTAGTCTTACACTGATGTTACGTCCCGTCTGCCCAATGTAGCAGCTGCCACATAAACAATTAATCCGATATACACCTTCTGTTGATAGTTTAGGTAATGCGTCTTTAGTGCAAGATACTAGTTTTTGAATTTTGTGTACTGTACCAAATGTTACTGTAATGTTTTGCTTTTGCAAAACACGGGCTAATTTGTCAATTACTCCTGAGATATATGGAATTTTTATTGTTTTAACAATCTGGTCGCTTTCAGCAGTATTGCTTTGCGATCATGATTTGGCATTCAGTGCTCTGTTAATTTGAGCATTATTGTAGCCATTCTGTCGTAGTGCGTCTTTAACGTGTTTAATCTCTCTCACTAGACTCTCACCATCTGACACTGTTTTAGCCCGATGTATGAGCATCTTGATAAGAGAGGATTTCTGAGCTGGATGATGATGTGAATGCAGAATCACATCATCATCCAGCTCAGAAATCCTCTCTTATCAAGACGCTCATACATCGGGCTAAAACAGTGTCAGATGGTGAGAGTCTAGTGAGAGAGATTAAAAACGTTAAAGACGCACTATGACAGAATGGCTACAATAATGCTCAAATTAACAGAGCACTGAATGCCAAATCACGATCGCAAAGCAATACTGCTGAAAGCGACCAGATTGTTAAAACAATAAAAATTCCATATATCTCAGGAGTAACTGACAAATTAGCCCGTGTTTTGCAAAAGCAAAACATTACAGTAAGATTTGGTACAGTACACAAAATTCAAAAACTAGTATCTTGCACTAAAGACGCATTACCTAAACTATCAACAGAAGGTGTATATCGGATTAATTGTTTATGTGGCAGCTGCTACATTGGGCAGACGGGATGTAACATCAGTGTAAGACTTAAAGAACATCAAAGAAATATTAAATTATCTCAAACACAACTGTCGGCAGTGGCAGAACATGCTTGTCAACAAGGACACTCAATTGATTTTGACAATGTTGCAGTGGTGTGTAAAACTAATTATTACTGGCAAAGACTAATTAGAGAATCCATTGAAATTGAGAGGAACAAGAATAACTTTAATCGCTCTGACAGCTACAGGCTTAGTGTGGCCTGGAAGCGTATTATTAAATAATACACATTACATTTTGATTTAAAGAATTACTAATCTACAACTCATTACTAATCATAACCAATGACTGATTACTAATCGATTATATAATTACAATACCCCCCCTGCCTCTAATCACTGCACCTGATATGAGTTAAGTGATGACGTCACCCTGCTGCTCTATATAAAACCGGGAGCAAGCGAGGGCTTTACCATTCTGGCGAATTGCCCGATGATGCTGGATGTATTTGCCAGCGAAACGTCGTACTCAAACTGTAAATGTTGTGGATTCACTCTTCAACACACCGGTGGGCTAAAGTAGTGAATTATTTGTCTTTTGTCAACGTGACACTTTTTTTGCTGATTGGCCGTGTCGGGTGGTGGAGGGTTACGACACATTTATAAATAAACGCGATCTAACCCAAAAACCTTTATTATTAATATTTAGGACAATATACCCTTTCAGTGATTGATTCTAATGCTAATACGCATTACTTGAACAAAGCTTTTCATTTTTTGCACATGAATCCATCATAGTTTTTCCCACTCACAGAAAAGAGCACTTGATGATCAAAGCACTCCTGTAATAACCATGATGCAAATGCTGCAATTGTTAAGATTAAAATAAATAATATATTGTACAGAGAGCCTTTGATATAAATACTCTTCTCAGAACGGCCTACAGCTTTTTTTGTGAACTCTTTCACGTAAGTTAAATGTTCATTTAATAAGAGTGATTTAATATGAGTGCTGCATATGCTTCATCATGGGACCTCCTTTGCCCATACTGTTCAATTACCACTTTGGCCCTTAAAGGATATTAAGAAGTGAGGCCCATACAAATAAGACTGTCGTACATTTTACTTCAAAAATGTTCTGCACAAACTCTATAAACAAAGCAAGCCAAGCTAATTAAACACGTTTTAAAACAAACAAAAAATAACAAAAACATAACACAAAACACACGAGTAACGCACAATCACTTTGTAACAAGCATATGCGTAAGTATATGTTTGCAACCAACTTATTAGGGCAATGTACTTCCTCACAGTGGCGAGGTGTTAACTTCCTCGCCTGGTATACAGGAGGTCGTGGGTTCGTACTCAATCGTAACTCCTGTATATTTGGAGTTTGCGTATCTCTCTCCCCGTGCTCGCGTGGATTTTTCTCTGGGTCCTCCGGTTATCCCCTCCACATTAAGAATAAACACGCATTTAGAGTATTTGGCTGCTATAAATGTCCACGCGATGAGCCACTTCGTTGAGCTATCATTTGTGGCCAGGTTACTTCTGAAAAATAGCTATATAGCTCAGCAGGCCTTACTTGATAAAATAGTAAATAGTTTAGTTTATACATGAACACAGACATACACATACACGTGTGTGCCTAGGAGTTGGACCTATAGACTTGTAAACTAAACACGGGCAGGAGGAAAGTGGCTTTCAGTAGCACTTGTGTGTATGAATGTATGTTTCACTTATTTCACACCATACGTAGCCAACCGAGCCAATCGGAGGTGCGTTAAAAGGGGACTGACCGAGAGTCTGCCGGGGAGAATTTGCGGCACGTCGCGGAGGCTGGGACTGGTGGGCGACGTGACAGAGATGGATGGCCGATCCATCTTCTGGGACTCGAAGGAGCTGGAGCCTAAAAAATGTGCACACACACGCGCGCAGCCGTCTTGCTGTGAGCCCAGACGTACACGCCGCAGCCCCTTGAGCGCCAGCGTGAACGCAACCTCGTGGAGAAATTAGTCCCCAAAGCCACTCGGTGACCTCCAGGGCACGATCGTTATAGCTACCAACACGGGCACAATCAAGTATCAGTAATATTACGAACTCACTCGATTCCATTTGCTGTGCTTGAGATCCGTCCGGTATCCGTGGAATGTCCCTGCAAAAGAAATATCAGCGGTGGCTCAGGATTGTGACGCGAAAAGCTAAAGGTGCAGCCCTGCAATTGCTCACTCACGCCACTGCTGACAGAAGAGCCTCCACGTAGAGGGAGCTCTAAAGAGTAGGCAAAATACCTTCCAGAGGGGCTCTCTATAGCTCCCCTATAGAGGAGCTCTCTATGCTGGTCTTGGAAGGGGTGGGAGTACCCACACTTTACCCCACCACATGCGACTTGCCGATCGACTAACTGTGGTCTGCACTGTTGCAGGACGCCTGTAATATGAAGCCTAATCGGTTATTGGGCCCTTCCTGCTTAAGCAAATAAAAATAGAAGATACGCATCCGTTTATACTGCTGGTTTAAATTTAAGAAACTGGTCCCGTTTTTTCAACTGCCTTGCCAGTGGAGACTGCGCTGAACTTTCAACCTCTGGGTTGTATGTCCAGTGTGCTAAACTAACAGGTAAGGCCCTGAACTATATAGGTATTTTTCAGAAGAGACCTGGCCACAAAAGATAGCTCAACGAAGTGGCTTACCATGTGGAAATGTATAGCAGCCAAATACTCTCAACGGAAAAAAAATCCACGTGACCACAGGGAGAGCATGCAAACTCCAAATATAACAGGCATCATGGTCGGGATCGTACCCCTCGACCTCCTGCATACCAGGCGAGGTTGTTAACATTTCGCAAACATGGCTAACCATCACACCACTGTGACGGCATCACATTTGCGACAAAAGCAGAGCATCGATCCCTCGATGATTTTACGCGTGCGAAGCGTGAACCCGTGAAAGATGCTCCGCGTGTCATTCATCTGGGCGCCGGAAGTTGGCTCACCCAATAGGCCTCGACACGATCAGCTCCACCTGCAGCTCCGGCTTTGACTCCAAGATGATGTTGTAGACGTCCTGAAAAGAAGCCCCTTGCAGAACTTTCCTGTTCCACTCCAGGACCTCATCACCTGCACCAAGAACAGCAAGCATGGGGTTGGGGGGTGTGGGGGGTGGCAAATAGTGACGTGTGTACCGAAAGTAAGTGATTAGTGATCGAACCTGGCCATTATTTCGACTCACAAGGTTTTTTTATTTTTTTACGATCAGAGGAGACATAAGTTAAGACCAGGAGCCCTGGTGTTCCCCCTAATGAGCTGCAGCCTGGCCTGTGTACAATAGACAGCACCTCAGTTTCACTGTGGGTCGTGAAGTTTATCCATATGTTTACTATACATACAAGTTGGCTGTGATACATGAGTGAGGACGTTTAATTGAGAATGGCCCATTCTTACCTAAATATGTAATTGTCCTGAGTCAAGCAATAGTTTGTGCTATTTATTTTAAGTCGTGTGATTTCGACTCTGACTTAAAAAGATATATTGATATTGCATATGAGCAATGTTAATATATATTTATGCTATATAACTACATTTGGATGTATACAGAATGCTAATACATGTTTTACAACGTATGTTTCAGGATCAGCGACCTATTTCAGTATCAGCGACCCATTGGTTTCCTCCCATAGTTAAACAAACAAACAATGTAACTGGCATTGGCAAAACATCCCCATTGCAATCAAAATTACCTGACAATTACTCAATTTGGATTAAGCTCAGCAACAGCATCGCACCCTTATTGCGAAAGCTTGGCAGGATGCTGCCAAAAACAAGTCTTGAAACTCGGTAGGGATTTTCTGGGTAAGTAAGCGTAATGATAAATAATAATAATAATAGATATACATGAACGATGAGGGCACTGTGTTGGTTAAGCGGCCACAGGAGTGGGACTCACCTGCCCGCAAGTGACCTACAATATCTGCCAAACTTCCCTTCTTCACTTTGGTGATGTACGCACAGAGCCGGCCCGATTCCGACATCTTCCCACCGACAACCTTGGTGCACATGAAAGATCGAGCAACGTGCATTCATGCCAACACATTGACAGCAGTGGTTCTTCTGTTCGTCAATCCATTTTTTATTTTCAACAACTAAGAAGCGCAATGGACCTGGGCACACGGGGGTGTCTGGAACACGCGTACCAACGGGAGGCCTTAGCCGTGATCTTAGGCACGAAGTAAAAAGAGGGCAAGATTAGGGAGAGATTGAAAGTTAGCTTTTTTCAATTCAACTAACCCACAAGGGCCAAATATACAAACGCGTTCGAAATAAGGTGATGAAATAGGATTATCAGTTGACCAGTCTTCTTTCCAAAATGTGGGAGTATATTTTAACCCTAACCTAACGAAATTCGTCTAACGTGGCGCTGTATTGTGCATGGGGTTAACCTACCGCACGGTTGATCTTAAGTAAGCAAGATAATGATGGATTTTAAACGTAAAATGAATTAAGCCAAAACCCAAACTTTTGACTTTGCAAGTCATTTCACCAATACTGATGATCAACTTTGCTCCATACCTTTTCCAGCCTCTATCTCTGGTGATGATAGGTCATTGCCTGACACCGCACCTATTATATATTTAGTTTTTTTAAGGCCACGGGTTTATTGACAAATGCTTCCAGTTCTGTCTCTCCAAATATGACTTCGAGTTTCAGTGCAGTGGTTGGATAAATGTTAACAATTTATAACCAGGTGAACACTGGTTATAAATTGGTACATGTATTATTGTGAGTACCACCAGAATCCACCAGAAAGCACGAACACGTAAGGCCGCTTTGACTATGGGAAACACTGTAAAATGGGCAAGATTTATTCTGAATATTTTAAGCACGGGCTCGAAAAAAGGGTGGCTCTTAATTTTGACACACGTTGAAAAAAAGCAGGTTAAAGTGGCACTCAGAAAGTTAATGTTGGCGTATACATTATTCATTTTAAATCACTTACTGCTAGCTAATCTATGCGACGACGGGTGCAGTGGGTGCAGTGCCGGTAATTTGCACGTGATATACGGCACACATTGAAGCTTGAATGGTTCTTACACCCAACACTGGCGCTCTGCTGAGATTTGTCACCCCTCTGAGTTGGGTGGCGATGTGGAAACACGAGTGGACACATTCGGCCGTGCTCAACGACGACCCAATATGAAGGGTCAATCCGCCAACCTACAAAACATTAAACACTCCGATTTTACTATTGTGAACGCTGGGAGTGTCAATCAATGGCTCTCAAATAGGGCTCCCATTCATATTCTTTTGTATCCCCGCTCGCAGATAACGAGCGGCAATTTTTCCGCAATACGCCCACCCCCCGCGGTTGTTGAAGCAGCAATGGAGGCCACATGTCTAACTGAAAATGTAACCATGCGGTGCGAAAGAAGTTCAACATAGATACATACACATCACTGGCTCTCATGATCCGGTGTGCACTGTCCAGTTCCTCCGGGAAGTTTTACAAAACTACAACTATTTAAAACTGGCAATGCCCACTGAGCTATACATCTCTTTTTCAGAAGCAACATGGCCACAAATGATAGCTCAACGAAGTGGCTTATCTTGTGGAAATGGTCACCAGCCAAATTCTGAAAACGAATGCTTCTAAATGTGGAGGGGGAAGAAACGAAGGACCTGAAGAAAAATCCACGCGACCAAGGGGAGAACCGAATATACAGCAGGCACCAGGTTCGGGAAAGAACCCACGACCTCCTGTATACCAGGCGAAGTAGTTAACGCCTCGTCACCTGGCCACAGAATTCCGCGTGCCGCGACCCTTGCTGCTAATGCTGGAAAACGTTGCAGATATCTGAGGGGAGAGGGTGACTGTGATTACCTTTTGTATGAACCAACTTGTGTCAACATTTATATGCTTTCTCCTTCCATATTCATCAGACTGTTACACATTAACTACATATTTAAAAAATTCATGTCTAGCTGTAATAAAATAAACGTTCGTAAAATGTTATAAAATATGGATTAAAAGTGCCCCCATATACCAATTAGGGCTACTGTGTGTTGCTCGACTCCCTGTTAGTGTTAATGCACCATCAGCAGCCATGATAAATACACTGCTGGATGCAGGCTTTCCCAAGCTGTCGCCATCTCTCACAGTCCAGGGACGTAAGATTCCATCGAGTATTGACTAGATGGAATGGACATCCTCCTGAATGGGATCCCTCCTTTGTCTGCCACTGTGTTGTTAGTCTCGACCATCCCTTCTAGCAACATGCCCTGCCCATGTCAACTCGCTCTCCTTAATAGTTCATAAAATTTCGACTTTAAACTTTCGTGACTGCAGAAATTCATATTCTTTGGGTCTCTCGGTAAAGTCACGTAGATAAAAATAATAATGTGAATAAAAAGAATAAAACAAAAACCACTAATGTATACTGTAGCCTGGTTCTTAATCGGAGTGAGTGTATTGGCAGTCTATAATGTAGACTGTAGCCTGGTTAAGTTTGGTGAGTGTACTGGCAGTCTGTAATGTAGACTGGTTCTTAACCTCGGTGAGTGTACTGGCAGTCTATAATGTAGACTGTAGCCTCATTTTTAAGCTTGTGGAGCGTATTGGCAGTCTATAATGTAGACTGTAGTCTTGTTCTTAACCTCGGTGAGTGTACTGGCAGTCTATAATGTAGACTGTAGCCTGGTTCTTAACCTCGGTGGGCGTACTGGCAGTCTATAATGTAGACTGTAGCCTGGTTCTTAACCTCGGTGAGTGTACTGGCAGTCTATAATGTAGACTGTAGCAATGGTTATTCAACTGAGTGAGCGTACTGGCAGTCTATAATGTAGAATTATTATTGGTTCTTTCGGTAATAAAAATAAAATAAAAATAATAAAACCACGACGTTTCGATCACAACACAAGCGATCGTCTTCAGGAGGAAAGAGCGGGAAGGTCACCGAAGGCAACCGTTTATAAAGGTTTCAAAAATGGGCGTGGCACAATCACTCCGGCGGGGTATATGTGTCCTGGAGTCAGAGAGCACCAACTCATAAAATATCTCAAACCTGCATGCGTTGTCTAAACCTTGTGTTGCTCTTTCTGCCTCTCAGTGGAATTCCAAGCATGGATCATTCCACGCCTCTCCAGAAATTGTTGAACTTTTGATGGTGCTCAGCCACTTTCTGACAATTCCATGAAGCCCTCATTGCTTGACACAAACTACATCGTACAGCCCTACGAGGTGGTGGTTATTTTACAGAATCCAGAGGGAGGGCGATGATTCATGATGATAATGATGCTCTACCGACTAAGCTTTACTCAGTGGTGTTGCTAGGCACAAGCAGATTAAGCAAAAGCTTAGGTACCCAAGAGGCTCAAGGACCCTGGTTTATGAAACACAAAGTTGGCATTAAACATCATCTAAGATTCAAATCCCAATACAAGGTTTTAAAAAATACACTGAACGTTGAAATCAAATGCACCTCTCTCATATCTATGTTGTCTGAAGCTCTATTCGCCCATCATGCTACAGTACACAGGGGGGGAGCCAGGGGGAGTGACAGGGGTGACATTCTGCGTGTAAGTGTACGACACTCGGTCTGGCGGACTCCGTGTAACTGCATTGTCAGAGTGTGTCGCCAACCGATGGCGTCTAGTTCAACAGCCTGACTCTCTAATCATTCTTGAAATTAACATTTGTTGAATGTCACCCGGCCTGAAATCCTGGCTCCGCCCCTGACAGTACACATATGTCTTGTGTCTATATCGCTCTCATTTCACTAAATGTCTATCTCGTCTCTCTCTCTCTCTCGCTTCCCTCAACTCACTACACGTCTATCTGTTGTCCACATTTATCTCATTTCAACTACATATCTACCTCTTATCTGTATCTCTTCTGGCTTCTCACAAGGAAATTATCAGGACCTCCAAGAGGCCAACACCAGCACTGACTATAACCTAGCCTTAATGATTATGGAAGTACAATTTTTGCTGCTTCAATAATCATTCAAAGTTTGATGAAGAAGAAAAATATATATACATATATCAATGCACATTTAATCTGAATGACTCCTCACTATAAGCCTTCATAAATGCTGTATAAAAATGGCCAAAATGGCGAATGTGGCCTTTAATGGCGGTACAGCCAAGCATTGTCAGTAAGCACCTATTTTGGTCGGTACCATTACTACTATTTACTATGGTTGTTTTACCAGGTAAGGCCCACTGAGCGATATAGCTCTTTTTCAGAAGTGACCTGGTCAAAAATAATAGCTCGAGAAAGTGGCTTATTACGTGGCAATGTATAGCGGCGAAATAATATAGACGCACGTTGATTCTAAATGTGGAGGTAAAAATCAGAGGACCCAGAGAAAAAATCCACGCGACCACGGGGGAATCATGTAAACTCCAAATTATACAGGCATCAAGATCGTGATCGAATGCACGACCTCATGTATACCAGCCGTGGTAGTTAACGTCTCACCACGGTAGCGCCCTAAACGACAGTGGTGTGATTTTTTTTTTCGATTTAAAGCTTTCGTGACTGCAAGGATTCATCTTCTTGGTTCTTTCGGTAAAGTCACCACGTAGAATGTGGAATAAAATAATAAAATAAAATAAGACAAAATTCTCACGACGTTTCGGCCACAACACAAGTGGCCTTCTTCAGGTGAAGAGACAGGTCTGTCCGGAAGACAGAGCTTGAATGAACGCTGTCATGCAAGGACCGCGTCTATTAAGCTGTGTGGGTGGAGTTAAAATATGAATTTGCATGTTACCTGCATCACCTCCGGAGAGGAGGAGGGAGGGGGCTGGTAACACAGGCAGAGAGACCCTTTCGCTGGCACTGCCTCTTAATACTTCTCACACCACGGTCAATGGCATGGTTTATAACATGTCTTATAATAATTAATAGTATAACATTGTAATGTTTAACATAACTCATAAGGCAATATATAGCATCGTAATTGCATAATGAATATACATCAGTGTGGTATATAGTTGGGTTCATAGAATAAGACATAGTGTAATATCACAAGTCTAATAGTTTCTA